AGATCATCCAAGCAAAAGATCAACAAGGAAATCAAGGCCTTAAATGACACACTGGACCAGATGGACATCACAGATATATTCAGAACATTTCATCCCAAAGCAATAGAATACACATTCTTCTCTAGTGCACATGGAACATTCTCCAGAATAGATCACATTCTCGGTTCTAAATCAGGTCTCAACCGTTATCAAAAGATTGGAATCATTCCCTGCATATTTTCAGACCACAATGCTCTGAAGCTAGAACTCAATCACAAAAGGAAATTTGGAAAGAACCCAAATACATGGAGACTAAACAGCATCCTTCTAAAGAATGAATGGGTCAACCAGGAAATTAAAGAAGAATTGAAAAAATTCATGGAAACAAATAATGAAAACACAACAGTTCAAAAATCTGTGGGACACAACAAAGGCAGTCCTGAGAGGAAAATATATAGCGGTACAAGCCTTTCTCAAGAAACAAGAAAGGTCTCAGGTACACAACCTAACCCTACACCTAAAAGAGCTAGAGAAAGAACAAAAAAGAAACCCTAAACCCAGCAGGAGAAGAGAAATCATAAAGATCAGAGCAGAAATCAATGAAATAGAAACCAAAAAAACAATAGAACAAATCAATGAAACTAGGAGCTGGTTCTTTGAAAGAATTAATAAGATTGATAAACCCCTGGCCAGACTTATCAAAAAGAAAAGAGAAAGGACCCAAATAAATAAAATCATGAATGAAAGAGGAGAGATCACAACCAACACCAAAGAAATACAGACAATTATAAGAACATACTATGAGCAACTCTACGCCAACAAATTTGACAATCTGGAAGAAATGGATGCATTCCTAGAGACATATAAACTACCACAACTGAACCAGGAAGAAATAGAAAGCCTGAACAGACCCATAACCAGTAAGGAGATTGAAACAGTCATCCAAAATCTCCAAACAAACAAAAGCCCAGGGCCAGATGGCTTCCCGGGGGAATTCTACCAAACATTTAAAGAAGAACTAATTCCTATTCTCCTGAAACTGTTCCAAAAAATAGAAATGGAAGGAAAACTTCCAAACTCATTTTATGAGGCCAGCATCACCTTGATCCCAAAACCAGACAAGGATCCCATCAAAAAAGAGAACTACAGACCAATATCCTTGATGAACACAGATGCAAAAATTCTCACCAAAATACTAGCCAATAGGATTCAACAGTACATTAAAAGGATTATTCACCACGACCAAGTGGGATTTATTCCAGGGCTGCAAGGTTGGTTCAACATCCGCAAATCAATCAGTGTGATACAACACATTAATAAAAGAAAGAACAAGAACCATATGATACTCTCCATAGATGCTGAAAAAGCATTTGACAAAGTACAGCATCCCTTCCTGAGCTAACAATCAAATCAATACTCAAAGAATATTTTTAAGAGTTACCTGTTTGATGTTTAAATTCTTACCTCATTCAGACATGACAAATGCTAAGTGCCAGAGATCTTCTATCATTCTTTAATTTCTGCTAACTCTGAATATTAACTTGATAAAAAAATAAAGTGTGAAGTTGGCATATTACCTACTAGACTTATCACACAAAAACTAAATGCTGCATTAAACTTAGTACAAATTTGACTGCTATCCATTTCTAACTCCAAAATTGCAGACATCTCTCAGTATTTCTTCCTAACATCAACTTCTAATAAAAAGTGATGATCATTAAGTCTTACATCATAGATATTACTTTCTAATAAAAAGTGATGATCATTAAGTCTTACGTCATAGATATTACTTCTAAAAATGGTATGGTAACAACCCCGAAATTTTTTTAAATGAGATCTTTGGAATAAGTAACGTTTTAACATTAAGTGTTTCAAAAATGTGGGAGATTTTAAAAGCTTACTTTGCGTTTAACTTTCACTCTATCCTCCTTGAAGTCAGAAGTCTTTTCATTAACTCCATTTCCTAAATTCAAAATCCTCAAATACATTGCATACTCATTTTATATAATCAGAATCATGATTCTCATAGCACTAAACACAAAGTGTATTGTTCCATACTTCAGTAACACATTCTAGGTTTTAAAAAGGTGAATCAAAGACTGGCAAGAAAACACAACACTGCAAACCCTCAGATACTGGAATTAATGTCATACAATGTAGTGGATTAGATAAATATTAGATAAAACCATTACATAAATAGCTCAGGAAAATGTTCACGGTTTGCAAGGGATTTTATTCTTCCCAAGAAAATAGATTATCTTTTCAATTTTTTTTTTTATTTTTTGTTTAGGACATAGAAGGAAAAATCTATGGAACCCATTGTCTTCCCATTTCTATATAATTTCCTTTAGTCCATTTCATGCTTTGTGTTTCAGAAACAAATGTTCATGAATTTCATGGGGAAAACAAATTGTTTTCCTGAAGAAAAACAGTTTGGAGTTGAAATTTAAAAAAAAAATATGGGGAGTTTGTCATTGCTATAAATTATGTGGTCTTTTTGCATTCTTCTAGTGCTTGTGATATTGAGAAATGGAAATTCCAGTCCTGATTCTGCCATTTGTTTTATCTTATTTAGTAAATGTAAAGATTATTTGTCTTTTCAATACAGACTAGATATGAGACTATAAAAAGACTTTGGTATGGTATACAAAATCCTGGCAGCAACATACTGTGGAAAATACTTATAGTGTCACTACTGCATCAGAGTTGAACTACTCTATCAAGCATAATTTGGTTCCTGTTAAAATATGAATATAAATTTGGTTTTAACACATGCAAAAAACTGAATTTATGCTGCTCTCCAAAGCTAAACTGTGGAAGTACCTACACGTTTATACATCTCTGCTCTGTAAAAGATCAAACTGAAAACATAACGTGAGTTTTAAAAACAAGTATACTTTAACCCAGTAGTTTTGAGAATATATCTTGCAGGAATAATCAAAGATATTCAAGGGTACAGCATCATGTATATTAAAATAAAAAAAACGGACAGACAGGCCCTACACACCCAGAATAAGGATTCAATACATTATGATTCATCTACCACTAGAGGGGCTTTAAAAAATGGTATGATCTATCATAAATGAAAAAAGACCACTAAACGGTATACATTATATAACCCCATTTTTAAATGTTCTGTGATCATTTATAAAAAAAAACAGGCTTTCTATCCGGCTTTTTAACTTCTAGCTTTCTATATAGTAAGATATTACATGTGATTTAAAAAAAAATTTTTTAAAGACCAAAGTCATTCATACTTCATGCAGAAATATTTTTTTCAAGTTAAGTGAAGGTTGATAATGTGCTCAATCCGCAAATATCCACAGGGCTGGATATGTGAAGTATGTTTTAAAAATAATTTTACCCAGTACATCATTATTAACCAAAAACCTCCACTATTTCATAAGCAGCTTTAACTAGATTTGTATTGAGACTTGTGCACTTTTGAGATGATAATGTATTTTCTTGTAGAAACAGTGTCACAAGTGGAAGACAGATTATTACCAAGCTTACTTAACCCACATTATAGATGACAGAAGGTATATCTGCAATGAAAACAAAAAAAAATTGCAATATTTATCAATCTGTGAAACTGAATATGAAATGAGCATGCTGAATGCTGAAAAAGGTCAAATCAGGAAAACACTGAGATGAAAACTGAAAATTAGAGGGAAGTTCTAGAAACTTTCAATGGCTTTGGAGGCTGACAGCATAAGCACTTTACAGAATTTCATTTCAGAATATATGTCAGTCTTTCTTTGACACACAGTAGTTAAATTTATTACTCATGATAAGGAGAAACTTTCTGGCCCCCGAATAGAATAAAGAGATAATTCTAGCAGTAGAGAGGCAGGAATTAAGGAGAAGAAGGGTATGGAGGATCTGTATGTGTGTTAGAAAAGGCAGTCACTAGGCCAATAACAAATTGGTACCAAAGGTGACTTAGAACAATTTAAAGCGGGAATGGAGGGTACAGAGGAGAAGAGGTAATGTGGAGCCACTTGTACATATATGTGTGTATATATATATGTGTGTGTGTGTGTGTGTGTGTGAGTGTGTGTATATATATATATACACACATATATAAATATTTTCAAAATTCTCAACTGTGAAATACCTGAGGGCTGCAAATTCTTCTTTCTATTCCATATTAATATAACTGATGCAAGATGCAGGACAATTTTAAAAAGTTAACAACTGTTTTTAGTAAGACTATTTTATTTAAAAATTTTTCAAAATATAAAAATAATAAACATTATGGATATTTAACAAACAAAACAACATAATTCAACTATAAATAATAAAAATGTTGACAACCCCACATAAACATGTAATACTATAAACATTCTAAGCATACAAGAGTAGTTTTCTAGTTCAAGTTTTACCTTTTTCAAGTTTTATTATCACTTTGAAAAATAAACCAAAAAAAAAGCTGCTACAGCTTAACCAATTACTTTCGCTCCACTCAAAGAGCAGGGAATTTTTTCCCCATGCCAACACACATTCGTGAAATGGGATACTTATGGGCACAGGTATTAAAAACTGGAACAATCCAGTCTCCAGACCAGAAAAGACTCCTTTGGTGTTTTTAGGTTCAACAATCCACAGAAATTGAGTAAAACTAAACCATTTATTAAAGGAAATCTTGTGCCAGATAACATGTTCTGAAGTAATATCACATCCAAAACAGATTCAGGATTCTGAGAATCAAAAGTAAACATCTATGAATGCTTTGTTGATACTTAAAAACTGTATCTTAAGAACATTCACTAAGGTGCTGGAATGAAGTCTTCTAGATGTAGAAAACAATCTACACATCAATGCAACACTTGTATAATGTAAATAATGCATCCCTTTACAACTCATCAAATGTTCTATTATTATGTAAGAATTACCCTGCCGCCTCCTGTTCAGTTAAAGACAGATGGGAATTTGAAGCAGAGCAGGATTACAACATATTTTTAGGACTAGAAAAGTTTTCCACTTGAAATTTGGGATAACTGAGCCATGCTGAATGTATCTTTTTTTTTTTTTTTTTAAATTCTAGCCAGATTAAAGTTCTTCTTATCAAAAGAGCTAATGACAAACTGAAGAAACTACTTACTTTTTTTGGAAGCTGGGCACAAATAAGTGTACTGTAATTCTGTATCATATTTTTAAATTCTAACAGGCTGGGCTCTTTACCTGACTTACCACAGACCACTTTATGCTGTTAGATTAGAGTAAGTCACAAGTGATCATACATTAAAGCCTAGCGAAGTCTAGATAACAGGTTCAAAAATGATATTGAAAGGTTTTTTAGCACCAATAACTTTTTCCTAAGACACTTGAGGGGCTGCATCACTTTAAAGTATTATTTATCTTGTAAACAAGACCAAAAATATTCAGTTGATCTGTATTTTGAGCATAAATATTTATAAACTCTATTTAAAAAAAAACAAATATAGCATGACTAGAACTGCTAATAGTGTAAAATCTAAGTATATTGAAAAATATAAAGATATATAAAAGGCTTCCATAATGCAATCATGCAGAGGTAAACCACTTCATTCAATTACACAAAAGTGATTCTGTACAGTTATCTACACATAGCTCCATGAGAATCCTATTCAGGAAAACAAAATAATGAAAATCCTTATCTTTAATTAATAAACACATAGGAATTTAAATATGTAACTGACCTATTGGCTCTCATAGAAATTTTCAAAAAGTACAATGATCTTGCTGAGAGTCAAATCATCTCGACTTCTGATTCCCCATGGCATGTTTAATTTTGCTTTGCTTTATTTTGTCTTTTAATTTAAAAGCAAGGGAAAGAAAAAGAAAGATGACAAAGTAATGTTGAGGGTGCTGGTATATGGTCCACATCCAAGAACCAATCAAAACTGTTAACAAGTATGGTCTCTCTTCAGTCTATGTTCTTTGGGTTTCTAACCTAGCAAGTAAGTCACTACCATCAGGGAAGAGAACCTTCTTTCCTTGAAAAGAAAAAATATTGAACTAACTTGGGAAAAGTATCTCTGAACTCCTTGTGGCTATATGCTAGTTTGCAACTAAACAAACATGCTAGTTTGAACTAAAACAAAAATCTAATTTTAAAAATGTCCTGTATGCTACTAGGTCATAATTATATTAGAAGACCTTCCGAAATATATGTACTTTGCCTTTAAACACAAACCTAAAATTAACAAAGCAATTATCAACTAATGTGGATCAAAATAATTTACATTATGATTGATGTGTTCATTCTTTTTATTTTTCATGAAGACAAATGCACTGCACACTCAAGAAAAAAGTGTTTGCATAACAGTCAACTGCGCAAAAAAAAAAAGTGAAAATATGAGCATGGCTTAAAGAAACTAAAAAAACAAGGGTGAAAAGAGTCAAGTATAATTGGGCTTTTCTAATAAAGTATAACTTTCCAACTTCTCAAATGCCTCATGGGAATCTACGAAGGAATACTCAAATTAATTTTCTGAAAGCTTTATATGATGCTCATTATAAAAAAAGGTATTTGGGGTGAATATTTAGGATCAGATTTAATCACATTCTTTATAAATAATTCTAACCCATATTGCTTATAAATAAATATTATGAACATACATCTTTTAAACAACGTTAGACACACAACACAATTTCCTCTTGCTTTTAAGATTGTCTTTGATGTCTTGATTGCAAGTGAGGAAAATATGGAAAAACTGTGTAAATTAGACATTTAATAGATATTTCTCAATATTTATAATCCACAGATCATCCTGTATTACTTGAAAAGAAAATTATTCTCCTTGTTGGCTTTGAAGAGCTAAGAAACTTTTTAAAAAAATTATTTGGGTAAGTGGCCTTGGCAACAATTTCAGTTAAGTATATTTAGAAGAAATAGGCAAGTTATTACAGTGTATAAAAAAGTATTTTAGCATCTGTTCAAAATTATTTAAGTGACTATCCTAACCCCAGAAATGCATCCTAAAACCCGGAAAAATTAAAAACAGACCGATGCTTAACTTTTTAATCATTTTCTTCATTCTAAATTGTTCATGCTAATGAACACAATATCATGGCTTTATAGATTTCCTAGACACAATTTTCAACTTGGCTGAGACTGAACTTATCTCATATTAGGAAGCCAAGAGGTCTTTTTCCTTCTTAGTGTTTAAAAATTAAATGGCTATAAAGTAAGGGGAGAAGACGTTTAAGAGCAAAGTCAGACAAAGCACACACTCAGACATACTTCTGGACTCAGATGTAGCAATTAGAGAACTGCAAAAAGACAAAATGCGAATTATAGTACATGTAAACATCTATTCAAATTGATAAAGAGCAAACATAAAATGATAGGATGATATTATAACAGTCGTCTCCAGACAGGAACAGGTCTTGCTGCTGTAGTCACAAAGCTAAATTCAGGCAATGATGATCTCTCTCTGCTGGAAAAAGAGAAGACTATTAAAAAAAACTTTGAAAATTGTAAATAAATCTAAAAACCGAATCACACCATAAATTGATCTCCAACTTTTCTAAACATTAAGAGAAAATCTATTTGAGAAAGGAATCAAAATCAAAGTTGCAGACAAATTTCACAAAAAATCAGCTTTGGGTTAAAGATTTTAACAAAACCTCTCTGCATCATGCTTCCTCCTTAAAACATTAAGCCAAAGATCACAGCGCTACAACACAGCCATGATCTATAACTTCTGCTCATGAAGTGCAGTAACTGACAAGATAGTCGATTGTTAAAGAAGTGTGGGTAGGCAAAGTAACTTTAAGAAATCACAAACAAATTCCAAGATAGAGTATGTAAAAATAAAAGCAAGAACAATTTTCTTAAATTTCCCAATGATTTCAAAGTAATTGTGAGGTGTATCTAATTTCCTTAAACTCTGTATGATAACCCTTTCATTCTTTAATTACACTACAGGACATAAAATTCTGTACTAAGCACAATGATTAAACAACCAAAAATAAAAAGGGACACATCAGAATGAGACAGTGCTTCATATACAAAGGGAGACTAAATGGATGATGGGAAGTTAGTGGATGGATGAAATAAAGTAATAGGGAGGGAGGAATCAGGAACAATAATAAATTGATACCAAAAAAAGTAAAACAAATAAGTGCTTTCGATACACTATGTAATGAATACATATTACTGATAAACTGCAAGAAAGTTATTTACCAAACTCAGAATTTTTCTACTAACCAAGTATGATATTTTCATTAGAAAATAGTGAAAATGGCAGTCATTTCACCAAGATTTCTTTTTTTCTCAGAACTTTTAGGTAGCTAATTTGGAAGATAATCTCTTGTCATCTGATAAGTATATAATGATCAGAGAGAGAGAGAGAGAGAAAATAACAACAACAAAAAAAATGCTACTCTCCTCTAAAAGCCTGTATACATACCTGAGAGCAACTAGCCAGTTCAAGAAGTTAACAAGAACAGGGTAGTTCCTGAGATTTGGGAAAACAAAATTTTTTCTCTGCCTTACAAACATCATTCACTGATGACTTAATCCTAAATTTTTGTTTTTATTTATAGGGCTTTAGAAGAATAAAAGCCCTGAGAGAAAAGACCAAAAAGTGAACTAATTAACTAGAATTCCACGCAGGACATTTTTGTTTTTTAAAAGATTCAAAGATTTTTGTGTAAGGTAAGAAAAAAAGCTTGTAAATATTTCTACAAATTCTAGGACGACTAAAACTAATTTTCTACAACTGGTTCACTTTATGTGTAAGGGGAAGAAAAAAAGAAAATATAGATTGGTAAAGTTTGTATAACACTCTAAAATAACCACTGATATTTCAACATACCAAACAAGCAAATGTTTTGCTTTCTTATGTAACCCTTAGAGCCAATGATTAGTGTCCCAAGTTGAAGATTGGAAATACAGTCCCCATAAAACAGTTCTAGTCACAGGAAATTTCCTACAATTAAGCTCAGCCATACTTTTCTGTAGGTAATCAGCCTAAACCACTGAAGTTTTGTCTTATGGTAAACTATTGGTTGATACACTTGATTGTATTACAATAAAACAAGAGCTATGTAATACTCTCCCATTCCTGCAACATGATTTCATTAAATAGTTGGGCATCAATTAAATACTAAAATTAATTTTTTAAAATCTCACAATTATTCAATAACATTTAAACAACACTGCTTAAGACATAAAATATTGAGTGAAATATATAAAATGACAACTTAACCATCCCTTGAGGTAATCCTAATCAATCTTTTAACCAGTAATATACAATTTCTCTCTTTTTTTTTTTTTTTTTTTTGGGGTTAAGTAGCAGCTACCTACACTGTTCTGAATCCTTTTTTCACTTCAAACTCAGCCCAGATCTGTACTAAAGCAAAGAACTTGCTGGGAGAACTGCAGAGTTAAATATATGTTTCAAATTTTAGGTAGCATATCGTTAACAGAAAGGGTTTTAGACTTTGAGTTTAGAAGCAAAAGGAAAGTTGTAAGCAGAAGTCTACCAAGTCTAGTGAATAGGGAAGCTGAGCTATACTTTAGAAGTTAAATGAATTTTGTGCCAGCAAAAGCAAGCATTTGGGAACACTATATACAAAACTGTACTGAGACACATTTATTCAGACTATCATAACCAAATCTAAGTTGTTTCCATTGATAAGATGACAGAAACAACAATACCATCAACAGGTAGGGGGAACTGGCACAGATACATTAAAAAGTGTTTTATATTAAATATACTACACCAAGGAAACTACAGTATAAAAGGGACCTTAAGATCATCTAGTCCAAGCCCTTTCATTTTACAGACAAGGAAACACCCCTGGATAAGTTGAGAGACTTGTCTAAGGCCAAAGAGTCAGCTGCAGAGCTGGAACCAAAAGCTAAATCCCTTAACTCTTATCTGGTACCTCCACGCTAGGTCATCTTTGGATATTAAAAAATTAGTGGGATGGACTAGATTGGTGGCTCTTGGCATTTCTATTCTTACAGACAGACAGAAACCAAAGGCTAGTTTACTCCTGAAACAGACTACAACATTTAATACTCCAAAATTATTAATGTCTTAACTGTTGTGGAAATTCCATTAAGACTATATGTATATTCCTCCATCAGTATTTTTAACCCACTTCTGCAATACGTAACTGTTCAACTGTTTAGCAAAATGGTCTCAATAACTGAGAAGACCTTCAGGAGAGATTTGGAAAATTGATAAGAATTAACAAGGGAGGTAATTGTCACTCCATTACTGGAGATTTAAATATGCATTCATTCATTAATTCACCCAACAAACATCTGAGTGCCCATTATGAGCCAGGCTTTGTGATAATCACTAGAGATAAAAAGATGAATAAGACATGGTCCCCTTCCTAGAGGAGCTTGTAATTTAGTGGGGAAGACAGACATATAAACCAGATAAATTATATTACAACATAAGTACTATAACAGAGATATGAACAAAGTGCTGTATTAGAAGGGAGGGTAAAGGTACGAACTGGCTAATGACCAAGTCGTCTACCAATTTTGTGCAAGAACTACCATATTTACTGCAAACACAATCTCATGCTCAATCAATATTTAGGAAGAAGTAGAAATGTAGAGTTTAAAAAAAAAAAAAAAAGTTGGCACCCAAATCAGAATGCCTGCATTCAAATCTAGTCCTTTCACTCACTAGCTGTGACTCTGGGAAGTCACTCCATCTCTATTAGCCTAAGTTTCCTTATCTGTAAAATGGGAATTAGCAACTACTTCAAAGGGATACCTTGAGTTTAAAATCAGAACACATGAAAGTACATGCATAGTATTTATAAGCATATTCATTAATTTCAAAAATCCAGTAGCAATTAAGTACTAATATTTATAGTTAAAATCATCTTAATGATAATGAAAATGTAAATGTGAACCTAATGAATGTAATATTTACTGCTCATTCTTTGGAACGAAAGTGAAACACACTTGTTTTCTGATTCATTCAAAGCAACATGGCTTAAAACATTTTAATTTTAGGTTACTAGAGAATTTAAGACTAGGGAAACTGATAAGCTATTTATGGATTTAAGTAAGTAGGTAATTTCAGTTACATTATAAGGGAATTTTATAATAATTTCTAAAAATCAGGCTAAAATTTACTAGTCAAATTATAAAGCCAAAAATCAGCATGGAGATTTAACTGGCCTTTGAAAGATTTTCTTTCTTTATAATACCTGTTTGGTGTAAAGAGAAGAAACGTGAGCCTCTGCCAATTTGGCACCTTTCACGACTACTAAAAAGAAAAGAAAACAAACTTACCTAATGAATCAGAATAGCACATAGTCAACATACAAGAGACTACATAAAAATATATCACAGATCTAAGTAAAGAAGTTTTTGAGTAAAGTCACTATTTTGACAAAAGAAATCGATTTTGAAATTTTAAATAATAAGACATGTACCAAATGTAAGCCAAAACATTCCTATGAAATAGTATTACCATCAAGAACATATATACAACTTTAACCCTAAGTGTGGGAGGAAAAAAACAAAAGAGGAACAGCATCCATTAGTTATCCCACTGACAGAGGATTATGGTGTTGGAATTACAGTTTGTGACTGTGAGGAGCCCAGTACGGGAAGAAAGTTGATTTTTTTTAATGTGACACTGAATATAATCACTATAATCTCAGGAGGGGAAGAAACACTTGCAAATGAAATGATAAATTTTGAAAGGTAAATATGTAATCTCCCACCCCCTCATTCTACAAAGAATGCATTTATTTCCTGAAACTGCTGTATCAACTTTCAACGATCATGTTCAGAAATCCACTTAAAAGTCACAATACTGTTGCAAATGTCAAAGATTTTTATACAAGTATAGGAAATGCACACTTAAAATATCAGACTGGAACACTTACCAAACAGTGTTTTCCTAAAGTAGTATCTATAGTACATTTCTTTATTCATACATCTTCAAATGGTCAAGTTTTCTTTCATACATCCAAAATGTAATGTGATGTTTTCTTATTCACCAAATGTTAGCTCTACTTGAAGTCTGGTTCCAAACTAATCAGCCTGCTTTTAAATTTTAAGACATCTGTTGAAAATTTATAGGATCAAACCAAACTGAAGTGGTATAAATTTTTTACATTGGATTGTACATTATTGTAAAGGTACCAGTAACCATTATTAATAAATTAGTGATTATAGCTCCTTTTGTGATAATTGGGGGGAAGGGTAGATCACCATCTGGAATGGTCTATTTATTTTAATTTTTTTTTCTTTTCTTTCCTTTTTTTTTTTCTTTTTTCTTTTTTTAAAATCAAGGAACATTGTCTTGGTCTTTGTGGGTTTTTTTTGTCATTTTTTTTTCTTTTCTTTTCTTTTCAAGAGACCATTCCACTTTATTTTTAACATCTGAATGCATAAGGACTCATATGCAAAGCAGTCATACACCGTTATCATTAAAACCCATATGGTAAAATACATACACAAGTCCAACAAAAGGCTAATACATAGTAAAGCCTAAGCATACTACTATGTAATATTATGAATACATAACTTGGAGACTTTAGTTAGAGTACTATGTTATCTATTCATTTTTGAAAACATTCATTAAGATTTTAAATGCAAATTCATTCCTTATTTGGAGTAAAACAAAATCCTCTAAGTTATAACAAGTATTGGTCGTAAGGTTTTAGACCTATTCATTAAATTACAAAGAACCCAAAGAATTCCGTAATGTTCAGTAGAAGTATGTAATAAAAACATTGCATATGTTTCTAGTGTGATGTCTTTAGCAATTGTTTACTGAAATAAAATGCAAACATCAATCTTTCAAAATACAGGATCAGAAGGTAGTTTTCTTCTCTTCTATTTGTGAAATCCATCTTCATCACATTTTACCAAAAAAATTGTTTTTACAAATATGTAAAAGTACATTAGATAATACTAATGAAACACAGGTAGAGTTCTAGCATATGCAGATCAATGATCAGTCAAATCATCTTCTCCAAGAACGAGATTCATTGTCCTCTTCTTCTTCATCATCATCTTGAAGTAATGAGTCATCCACCAAAGACTCTTCCTGAAACTTTAGGTTAAAATGCATTTAGGAATTTACCCAAAAAAAAAGAAAAGAAAAAAGGTAACACTTTTAAATACTGATTTCTCTCAAAAGAGGCGAATACAAAAGGTATTTCTATAGCTACAATTTTCAAGAACAAAGAAAAGCAACCTTTATCCACTCAATGGTTTCTCTACAATATCTATTCTATGGTTTATATCGAACAGGCACTAAAAAAATATCCAAGTAAGCCTTTTACATGCCATTTCTCCTGCCTCACTTGATCAAATTATGCCATCTTCTACACCTACAAAACAGTGCTCAATACCTTTAGTTTTTAAAAAAAGAAAACATCAATAAATGTTCTCTGACTTACCCTGTCTAACCCTGGACACTAAATCAACCAATAACTTGTAGAAACATCTATCAAGATTTATAGATTTATATTTTTTTCTGCTATATGAAACAAACATTTCTTTTATAGCATTCCTTGCTTTTCGCCATTCCCTTCATAAAAGCTTCTCAGACTGCTTTTCAAACTTTTCAAAATACCTAATACCAGGAGCTCTCCTGCTTTTCTCCCCATTCAATTCAAACTCATGGAAGGACAAAGGTATAATCTAAAATATAAAATGACAAATCATGTATATGAGTTTCAAAATACACATTTTATTCTTGCATTTGACTATGGATATGTATAACAGCCTCGAATGCTCTTCAAACAAAATGAAGTGCCATTAAGAAAATCTAACAAAGGTAAAACATGGAATCATTGTTTCCCCACCTTACCTTTATTAACCTCAACTTTTTCCTATAGCTTATTTCATGATCAAATAAAATAGAGTTATGTTTATGTTTATGACTTCAAAGGGCTCTCCCACTTCATTGTTCTTTATGTTCACACCTCTCAGCCATCATACTAATTGCTGTACCCAAGAAAAATGGACTGTTCAACACCTATTCCCCTTCCACACCTAAAATGCCTCTCTCAACTCTATTCCCAGTCCCAGCTCTTGGTTATGGAAAGCTTTTTTTATCACTTAGGGTTCAGCTCTACTGTCACCACCTTCTTCAAGACTCTTTTGGTCAGAAATAATCACTCCTTCCCCAGGGTTCCCACAGCGTATTGTTCAGATCTCTTATTGAGTGTATCACTCTGCCTTTCATTATAATTAGTTTCTTATGTGTCTGTCACCACCCCCCTTTCCCGATTAAAGCTCCTTGATGATAGGGACCGTGTCTTATTCATTTTTGTGCCTATCACAGTATCTACTATATAGAAGGCATTCACTCTAATGAACTAAAACGGTATGAATTAAAATAAAGGAAACCTGAAATGTTAATAAAGCAAATAAGGAGGAGATATACTCTAAAACTTAAAATATTACAAGATTTCCTGTGGATAAAAATCTAAAGAATAATTATTGTGTTCTAAGAGTAAATGAAAACTGAGTATATATATGATTTTCTTTTTTTCTTTCTTTTTTTGGATTAGTAATCCATAGTTCTCATTAATCCAGAAAATTTAAAGCTGGTCTGCATTTATCTGACATCCCCTGCCTGGAATATGGCTCAGGAATAAAATTTTATGTTAAAATCACAGCCATAAAATCATATTTCATATATAAATGTGAACATTTAAGATCCAACACAAATTAAAAAAAAAAAAAACATACTTCCTCTTCATCAGGTTCAACTTCTTCTGTTTCAACAGCTGAAATATTAGTTATTGGTTTATTCCATGCCAGTTTTAGATCCTGCCCTTTGAAACGAGCTCCATGAACTGCAGCCTAAAATAATTAAGAACATTAGAATGCAGAATATTAATAATTTCTAAACAATGAAATGTTATAGTATCTAATATTTAAATTAGTAAAACAAAAGAGAAGATACCTATCCATTAACTCTGTGGTTATTTCTCCATTTACTATTTATTATTATAATTTATAATTTACTTTTTATGGTTATTTACTTCTAAAATCAGCTTTGTGTTTGGAAATAACTTTAAAAAGAAAATGAGAACACTTTCTCATGATTGAGCAGAGCTATTCTACAAATGGCCAGTATCTGACTATAACTATGTCTACATGTTTACAATACAATGATAATGGCTATTAAAGGCAACAATCTCAAGACATTTCAAGATCCCGGCTGTAGGTTCTGAACTGAAGTCCAAATTAGGATCAGCAGGCTAAATGTACTTTATTGTATTTTAATTCTTGTTAATTTATGAATGACATATATAGTAACTACAAACTAGAAACCTTTAACAGATATAAGAATACTTCTGCATGCGTAAAGTATCACATTATTTTAAAATTACATCAATAAGGTATCACATTATCTTTAAATATGATGCTCTACATGTATCACTCTTACGAAACCTAAGTATCTCCATGAAGAAAAAAAACCCTGAATGTTTCTACTGAAACTAAAGTATTTCCTACAAAGCTTTCAGAACTATGTAAGGTAAAAGTCAAACTTAGTATCTGCTAAATTAAGTGATTAGGAAATGTGCATTCAAATTAAAATAACATGAACAAATATAAACGAATGTTAGCAACATACCAGAATAACTCATAGTCATGAAAGATTTATAGCACAACCTCATAGTATAATGTGAAATCCAGAAACAATTACATGTTCAACAACACCTAACCATGAGTTGTGTGATATTTAAGTCTCCAGGTATAAATTTTAAATCTGCACATGTAAATCTATTATAAATTTAAGAGATTTCATACCTATTACAAAATGCAGCTCAGGAGTTTTTAGTCCATGGCCTCACCACAATGTCATAAAATTAAAAAAATTTTTAAGTACTTATATATGATATTTAAGTTTAGAAACGACTTGTAATTTTTTAAAGCTAAAACTATTACATAAAAATATATTACTATAAGAAATTCCAATAGTGTCATGCAAAATGTCTACTCATAAAGCTCATCTTTTCATCCAGTTAAAAAAGGCCAAAAATTTTCTCTAAGTTCTTAAGTTCTATAAGTTCTTAACATTTCTGATGACCTAATACTGTAATTCTCTGTATTTAGCACATATATCTTCAAATTTATAAGGTGAGTCTACAACCCTCTAAAGTTTTTAACATTTTATAGGATGATTTCAAAGCTAGGTATATTTAACATTTTATCAACATTCGCCATTAGAAATTTTTGACTTTTTGGCTATATAAATTTGAGATAACTGAGTTCTTCCTTTTTAAATATATAAATTTATTTTAAGTAATTTGTAACATAAAATCTTTAATGTTTAAAAAATTCTATAAACTACCCATTTTATTTTTTTCAAAATTCCAAAATTTCTGGTTACATAATGTAAAATATCATAATCCATGACTGTCCTATCCTGAAGAGATAACCACTATTCTATGAAGAGTTTGGAAAAAAGTCCTGCAACCCACTAAAAAAAGTCCTATGCACTTATAAAGAGTGTTCGTGTATATACATATATAGGATATGTACATGGGAACATACTTTACTGGTCTCACACCTCATTCTTATATTATTAATTCAATTATTTCACAGACCCTTTCCATAGCCATAACAATAGATTTTTCACTTTTCTTGAATGGCTACTTACATACACACACACCTACACCTTATTTAAACTAATTTCTTGAATGGAACTTTGTCCTATTTGTTTGGCAAAATATTCTTTTCTCAACTGGATCTTGATTTTACAATTACAATGTATGTTTTTACTAAAGGGAAAGGGGCTGCTGCTGTTCTTTTTGTCATAAATTTAAATAAGTTTAAATTTTCATGTACTGTAATTTATCAGTGTTTACCTTTATGGCTTCCAGATTGTGCCAGTCCTTTAAAAAGCCCCCTCCACACTAAAATTACTTTTAGGAATCCCCAGCTTTTTACTAGTCATATGTACAGAAAAAAGAAAAAACTTTTATGCACCTTTATTTTGATACCAAAAATAAAGGCATAATGTATAATTTCTTCCTAATAGCCAAATGTCGTAACATTATTTTCAGATTACTCAGTAAATTTAAATTTCCTGATTTAAATAAAATATCTCCTTGTAATCCTCTACAATTCTTTCATACATTCAGGTCTTTTTCTGAACTATTTTATTGTCTGTCTATCCATACCATTACTATATTAATTATTTCACAATGAATTTGGTATCACTCTTCATCTTTTTCAGAATATTCTTAGTTATTCTGACATTATTTTGTCCTTATGCTCTCTGGAATATTTTGGCCAAGTCCAGTATCACACTGTCTTACTATTGCTTAATAGTATAATATCAACTAGGTCAATGCTTTTCAATACTGTGGCAGTCACTTCAAGAGTTCTGTAACCATTTTATTAAAATGTACATTTAAAAATGAACTTTTTAACTACTTACAAAATGTTAACAAAAAACATCATGTTTAAATGTATTCTACAGGATGCTTATTTGAGCAAGGTGGTAGTGATTATAAAGGTGGAAGTGGGGCTAACTGTAAAAATAAACAAAATAAAGAAAAGTGGGGAAAATAACTCCAGAAGATAAAATTAAATTTGCTCATCTTAATGAAAATAGTTGATAATTTCAATGAAAAACCACCAAAGTAGGGGTGCCTGGGTGGCTCAGTGGGTTAATGCCTCTGCCTTCGGCTCAGGTCATGATCCCGGAGTCCTGGGATCGAGCCCCACATCAGGCTCTCTGCTCAGCAGGAAGCCTGCTTCCCTTCCTCTCTCTCTGCCTGCCTCTCTGTCTACTTGTGATCTCTGTCTGTCAAATAAATAAATTTAAAAAAAAAAAAAAAAACTTAAAAAAAACCACACACACCAAAGTACCAAAATAAAGCCAAAAAAGAAATATATATATATACAGGGACTCCTGGGTGTCTCAGTTGGTTGAATATCTGCCTTCAGCTCAGGTCATGATCCCAGGGTCCTGAGACCAAGTCCCGCATCCACTGGGCTCCTTGCTCAGCGCGGAGCCTACTTCTCCCACTGCCTGCTGCTCCCCCTGCTTGTGCTCACTCTCTCTCTCCCCTTCTGATAAATAAATTAAATCTTTTTTAAAAAGCAATAAATAAACAAATCTTTTCTACAGAAAAGAAAAAGGTTTTAAAAAGATACATGGATCTAAATCAGTAGAAGCTGATATATTCACAGATAAACTCTATTAAACATTTAAGAAAATGTATCTCCAATGCTACTTAAAATTAACTCAGCACAAAGAAAGATGGAAAACTTTTCAGTGACTTTTTATAAAGCCAAGTAGTATTGCTACCTGATGTAAATAACACCCCTCCAGTCTACAAACAAATCTTACTTCTGAAGACTGAATTAAAACTACAAATAAATACAAGAATAAAACCTTATCATCCGCGATAACATGATGAATCTGGAGGGTTATTATGCTAAGTGAAGTAAGTCAGAGAAAGACAAATACCATATGATTTCACTTATATGCAGGATATAAAAAACAAAGCAAACACTCTTAAATACAGAGAACAGACTGGTGGTTGCCAGAGGGGAGATGGATAGGGGAATGGGCAAAATTATCTACAGAGGATTAAGAGGTACAACCTTTGGTTAAAAAATAAGTAAGTCACATGGATCAAGAGTATAATATAGGAAATATAATCAGTAATATTGTAATAATGTTATATGGTGACAGATGGTGACTACACTTATGGTGAGAAATGAGTAAGAGAATTGCCAAATCACTATGCTGTACCCCTGAAACTAATATAACATGCCTATCAACTATATTTCAATAAAGTCTTTTAGAAGTAAAAATAAATAAAAATTTTTTTAAAAAAGGAAGACTTCAGACTTCAGTGATTTATCAAAGAAAAATACAGTACCATGGGGATCTGTACCAGAAGCAAATGGTTAGTCAATCTCAGGAAACAATATAAATAGATGAGGGGGGGAAACCCTCATATTTCTATAAATACACAAAAATTACGATAACATCTCTCTCTGATCAAAACCCAAAATCACTACAGCTTCCAAAAAACAGGAATCATTTGTATTCTATCTTAATCTAAAAAGCTAGCATCATATATAATACTAAAATTATTAGAAATGTTTTCATTCATTTCATGAGCAAGCCAATGAATGGAATGTCATGAGTGGAGACACAATTACTATTACTGTTTTTTAATATTTTTCTAAAGGTACCAATAAGTAACAGAAAGTAAGAAGTTATAAACATTAAAGATGGATATGGTTACCTGAAAAGCCAAGGACAACAAAACTAAAAAACTATCAAAAGATAATTTGGTAAAATGGCAGCTACATATCTAATAAGAACAGACAATTGATTTTTCTACATAAAGAAGACCTCATTTAAAATAACTAGAAGTTAAATGACTGGGGGAAAACTAATATATTTATTTATGTAAAAAATTATACGTATGTTATATGTATTTCACATTAAATACTATATGTTACTATATTATATACTTATATATTATGAAATCTGCAGCATATGTATATTACCTATATTGATTTTACATATATAAATAAAATCTATATAAAGAAAACCTCTAAATGCTGTTAGAGAATAAAGGATTGAAATATAATGATGTTATAGAGGAGTATTTGTATCACGAAGATGTTAAATCTCCCATATATTATTCTATCTTTTTAGAACCTGGTAAGCTTATATAAAAAATAAACACGTAAAATCTATGAGGAAGATGCTTAAAATGAGTTAATAGGTGAGCACAATAAGAGGGAATCCAAACAACAACCCTGACAAACTATTAAAATATAAAGTTTAGCTTAATTAAAGCAGTGCAGAAGAGGCACATGAAAAGAAAACTGATCAATAGAAGGAATGAATCCCGAACATGATCCAATAAACATGGAAAATTTTTACACACTAAGGGTAGTTCGCCTAAGTTTGGTAAACTAGCTTTTACTCAGTAAAATCAAGTAGGCTCCCTATTTCACACCTTATGCCAAATAAAAGTCATATGAATTTTCATTGAAATGTTTAGAAATTATGAGCTAATATTCTAAGGAAAAAAATTGAAAAAAATCAGAAAGAAAAAAATCATAATAGAACTCAGCAAGAGAGTAAACAAATGACATTAACAGTTGACAGAAACAGAAATAAAGAGCATTTAAACAAATGTGAAAACGTTCAATTTTAATCATAAAAGTGTATTAAAACTGAAATGAGTTGCTATTTTACCAAAATAAAACTGATACCATTCAGTGGCTCATGTACCCATGTATTTTATATGAGCAAACCACTACGCAGAGTATACACTATGGCAAGTGCGTGGGGAAAAGGCACTCTCATACATCTTTGGTGGGCAAGGAAATGTGGTACAACCTATATGAGGGGGAATGAAGGAAGCAATCTTAGAACTATCCATCAAAAATTTAAGTGCACATATCATTTCATCCAGTTATATTGTATCAAGAATATATCTTATATTCATATTCACATATGTACACAGAGAAATATGCTCCAAGAATGTTCACTGCTGCACTGTAAAAGAACAAAAACAATTTAAAGGCCATCAGCATGGTTGATTAAATTTGGTACATCTATATGGGGAAAACTTCTCACTTTTCAGTCATATATGAATGTCTGAAGTACCTTATTTTGTACTTTCACTATGAAATACTATACCATTTATTGATTACAGAAAATACAGAGACATTCATTCACTCATCTAGGACAACGGTTCAGAAAATAAAAACAAAGAAATATTTGGAAATAAACATCAAAAAAGGTGGATAATTTTCTTTTCCTAGGAAGACCTATCATTTACCTTGAGTTTATAACCTCTTACATTTTTGGTGTCAAAATTTTCTTTATTTTACAAAATGATGATGATGGTACAAGAAATTTGTTTTATATTTTATAAGCATTCATCCTTAACAAAATTAAAAACTGGCACCTCTATATCAAACACACTAATTTTTTTAAATTCCCAAACTTCAATGGTCCCCCAAATCTAGACGTTTGGAAAACCACTGCCTTAGCCTATATTCTGTTTGGAGAAGATAAGCTTCAACTTAATTTTCTATTCTTTTCTACAACAGAAAGTTACAAAATTTTAAGAATTGTTTTGGCTTATTTGGCTTTGGATCAACAACTTCTATAACTTAATTCAAATGTTTATCATAGCAATGGTAGTTCTTCCTTTCAGGCTATTAAGTAATTCCAACTAAAATGGTATTTACTCTGAAAAGATAATTCTTAATTGGATCTAATTTATTTTGTCACTTCTTCAACCCCCATAAAATTCAGTGTTTGTCATACATCAATCCCTAGTCTTTTGAATTGATTGCTATTCATTTGGAAAACATATGCATTGTATAAATATACATGTATTTATATATATATATATAAATATGTACATGTAAAATATATTTTTATATATAAATATGTACACATATATATAGTATGTACATATAAATATACATATCCGAGGTGGAAAAAGCAATACCCAAGAAAGAGGCTGTATGTCAATAAATTTTCCAAGAGCCAAACTTTCAAAAATGATTTCAAAGGTAAAAAGTTTTTTTCCCTTAGCCACATAAACATGAAGTTTTAACAAACTTATAATCATTTATATAATGACAACTACCACTGTTTTAGGACTAGTGCCTAGAAAATAGAACATAAAGAGACTTACTCAAGCTACCTAACAAAAAGCAGCTTATTTTTCAACTTCTACTCAATAAAACCTTTGAGAGAAAACTTGATCAAAGATCTATTTCTTAATATAACATGTACACATACAAGTTTATAAAAGTTTTAAACTCTCATCAATAACATTTTTTACTCTGAAAAAAGATCTTTAAGTGAAACATTACCCAAAAGTAGATTTTAGAAAAGCAGAACTCTAGGATCAGGAACTCCTATTCCATAAAACTATCCACCTCCTACACCACAAATCTTGACACTAGTTATTACAAGGCCCCAGCTGAGCACTTCACTGAGACTTTTCAGATCCACAATCTTTTACTGGTTACAATGCTCCAAAGCCCAACTCCTACCAGGCTAGGTCCCCAGTAAGGTACCATTGTGTTGTCAGGGAATATTCACTACAAAGAAGACACATCAATTTAGAAAGTTTTTAAAAACTTTAATTTAGACCACAATCCACTTAAAAACTTCTGAAAACCATACTACTCTTTCATTCACATTAGGTTAACTGTTTGGAACTCTTACTGCATTTTTCCAAGGACAAGATGGTACATCTATTTCTCTACAATCCTGAAGAAAGAACCCACAGGGCTAAAAACATTCCTATCTCCTATACTTTATACCCATTTTCCTTTTTTTAAAAATCTTTTAAACCCCGATGGAAGACAAGGTTGCATATACTCATCCTTTATAAAGACAATTCAAGATGCATGGTTTAAGACAACCATAATAAAAGGACCCTAAAAGCTACAGCAATGTATCATGCCTGGGCAGAAAGTTATAGAGGCTTAGTTGGGGATGCTGAGCTAGGGACACGTTAAAGTTCAGCGTACTGGGACTAGGAAGCAGCAGATAAGGGATGCTTTAGAAGATCTGACATCACGATTTATCTTAGCTTCTACCTTATCTCTCATAACTCTTTCTGCCAAAGCAAACTTTGTTCTGGGCCAGCTGAGAAAAAGGATAATGGAAAGTTGGGTGGCCCTATCCCCTATGAAAGAGAAAGGAAGGAGAACTGCTAGTGTCTCAAGACAATACAACTTACTATTCATCTTGGTGACTATTCTAATTATATCATATTATAAACAGAATTGCCTAACTGCTTTAGGACATTCTTTGTGGCCATGAATTACTTCTTATAATCTATCTACTGTCAAACTGTAGTTATTTAGTAAGTAAAAAAAAAATTCTTTATATTAAGACTTAAAAGCAATTATTTATAAAACATTTAAATCTGAATTTTCAATAAATCAGATTATTTCTAATACTTACTGCTTCAGCTTCTGCTCTTGTCTTGAATGTAATTACTGCATGAAGTGAAGAGTCATCAATCTGACAATCTTCAATTTCACCATATTGCTTTAAATTAAAAAGAAGTATTTCCTCCAAATAAATATTTTGAAACATCCAAAATCCTAATGGCTTTTAAAATTACCAATAAATGTAACCCAGAATATATAACAATTCATGGTGATTAACAGAAAAAAATGATGAATAATTCATTTTAGTACTTGATATTATAAGATAAAGAATGGTCCTATTTACAATTCTATACTTTTTAGAATTAGGGAAACTTACGTTTGAATCAACTATTCCTTAAAAAAATGAAATAACAGTCACAATTGGGCTTCCTTACTGACCTTTGTAATCCTAGAATATGCTAAATTCTTTCTGAAACCGAATATTTAATCCTCAGGATATTCTACACTTGATCTTAGCCAAAAGGCCGAGAAGCGATCCTCCTCAGGATATTCTATAAGATTTTTGTGTCATTCCCAATTTAAAAAAGGTGCCAAAAAGAAGATTCAGAGAATTTAAATAATTTTCCCAAATTTATTTAAGTTAAATAGCAGGAGAGTCTAGGTCTTTTGATTTAACATCCGAACTGACCTTGCTTTCACTCCTATTACATACTCCTCTACACAGCACACACTAAAAAAAAACTAAATAAATTATGCTTGCTTTTGTTGGATTTTATTTTTTCTCTATGTAGAAGGATTTTTTTAATCATATTTCCTTTAAACAGCAACCTTTATCATATAAAATTCTAGTCCTTTATCATTACTAATACCTGCCTTCTTTCCTACCCCAAAACAACTATAATCTCATTAAATACACATACACACACACACACACACACACACACACTCTCCAGAAATTTTTTTACAGAAATTGAAAATTTCTGTAAAGATAACAATACTCTAGCATCAATCCGCTCCTTTCAGCTCTGTCAGTTACTAGCTGTTTGAACTTGAACAAGTTACTTAATCTCTTCATGGTTCATCTTCTTCATCTCTAAAGTGGGTACGTACCTCAGAGTTGTTGAGATAACGCATAATATAATGAATTATGTAAGACACTCAGAATAATACCTGCCACAAAATAAATGCTCTAAAACTTTTAGCTATTATTTTTATTACTAATACTACTACTGGTTTAGGTGGATAAATTAATGAAAGCATGTTGTTAATCACAATCTGTAACAGTTAATGGTCCTATAATAATGCAGTTTTCTTTTCTTCTGTTACTTGTCACATGTTCAAATCCCAGGTTGAGACAGAAAACTAAATTTTAAACATGCACCATTCTTAAAGACTATTTTTAAATGTGCATTACCACTACTAACTTTGAAAGGAGTTCAAATCTCTAAATACACACAAGAATCTCCATTTAGAGGCTTTGAATATTTATAAAACCAAAATCCATCCTAGTTGTCACTAAAATACATGCATAACAAACTCACTGGTTTATCTGGATTATTTTAGCATATTCTTTGCTAGTTTCTTGATTAGCTATATAACTGCATGCAAAACACTTAATTATCTGAATCTCCTTTCCTTTGTGAAAGGGGTGGGAGAAGCTGGGGTGAGTAACAGGAAAAAATTGGGCTAAATTATCTCTAAGATCCTTTCTAGTTCTCTGATCCCTTTCTTTCTCCCTCTGAAACCATCAAGCATAAGACTTTCCAGACTCCTCATCCTTAAATATTAATCATTTTAGTTACTTCTTTAATATTTTCCATTTCTTTCAATAATTCCCTATGTCCTGACAAAATATAGTTTCACCTTTGTAACTTCTATTAACAGCCTAGAATATGACTGTCAAACATCTAAATCGGAATTTCCAAAAGATTCAATCTTTTGTGTACCTATCTATAAGCTTACAGATGGTTCAAGATCTAAGCTCCAGTTTTCCTACCTTATGAAATTCTCCTATACTGTTCTTTTTCCATCATATGCCTATGTGAAAGATACTTTTCTGAGTTACTCAAATACTTACAGTTTTTAATAAATTTAACTTGATGGTGTGGTAAATTATGTTTGCAGCTTACTTTAACTGCCTTGTGTTAAAACAATATATATAAAATCTTTGAAGGTGAAGAACTGGTTATTTCTTTTGTATCCCCAGAGCAGTTACTATAGTCCTGAAGGCAAGGCCGATGCTTAGTAACTAACCTTTGGGATACCACTAAGAATCACAATATTTAAGTTGAAAAGGCCTTTAGGCAAATATAATTTCTATTCTACACACAAGCCCAATGGATCCCAGGAAGTCCAAGTAAAATAATGGGTTAGCCAGGACTAGAATCTCATTCTCCTTTCTCATAGGTCTACATTAGACTCATTCCCTTTAATTGCATCCTGCCAGTGAATAGAGCCAACCTCAAGGGCACATATCAAAATTTTGTCTTGTTTCATTTCGAAGGTCAGCTAGATCAAGAATATGGTATTAAGACATAAAATTCCATCTTAATTTTAGAGTATCTAGGTGGCCTTTGCAATGTGTTAAATTTTCTGTTCCATGTATATATCAAATGAAACTAAACTATAGGACATCCCCCTCTGAAACAGCAAAATTTAAATCATTCATTTCACAATATGTGAAGGCCTACTGTTAAGAATAGCAACCTGTCTTCCAGACAGTAATTAAACAAACAAAAAATCCCTCGGTTTATTTTTTAAATAATTAGCAAAAGACTATTATGGATTAATCAAACCCTTTGGTCAGATTAAAGGGTTTAAATTACTCATATTTTCATAATTTCCCCTTCAATATCCATTATCCCCAACAATGATTATCAGTACGTGTTCTGTTGGACAGTAAGAAAGTACCGCAAAATGAGGAAGAAGATCTTCTCTATCACTCTCTGTAAACGCAGAAATCTCCAATGCCCTGGGACGATGATCCACCACAGCATGACCAGGCACACCTCGACCTCGACCTCGACCCCTGCCTCGGCCATGAGCTGCACCTCGACCTCTTGAGTGAATTCCTCTACCCCGACCAGATGAAAGGATCCCTCGTTTTGCAGCCTTGAAGAGATCAGACACACAAGTTAAACATCACAATTTCTAACATAGGCCGTGTTACATATATTCTGTGAGAATAGTCAATCTTTTATACAATTTGACATCATATTCAAATACTGGCCTATGAAAGTATCTCATAATTTAAGGTAGGGTTTTAGTTTTTGGTTTTTTTAAAAAAGATTTTATTTATTTATTTGACAGAGAGGCAGAGAGGCAGGTGGGGGGTGGGGGGTGGAAGCAGGCTCCCCTCTGAGCAGAGAGCCCAACATGGGGCTCGATCCCAGGACCCTGAGATCATGACCTGAGCCGAAGGCAGAGGCTTAGCCCACTGAGCCACCCAGGCACCCCTGAGGGTTTTAGTTTTTAAAGTGAAAGCATTTTAGGTAGCCGATGCAATTAGAAAACAAAATAACATTAATTTAAACAATGTTTTGAAATTATTAAATGTGCCTTTTTCTACTAAGTTCCTACTTTCCAAGCTATCAGACTGTATCATAAAAAGACCAACAATTCTTGATTTCCAAATAATACACAATGTTAAAATGTTACTTCAGCAGTTTAATACATACATAATATACAATATATTTATTTTTCCACTTAAAGCTTCTAAGTAGTGTATTTGTTTGCCTGTTGACTTCAGTAGGTATAATTATCTCAAATTCATCATTTTAGTCACTTATACTAACAACACTTTACAACCAATGTAGCACAATAACTTATATTCCACCACATTTTTCTATATGAATAGTATACTATTCCTTCACTGCACAAATATTTAACAAGTACTTCCTATATGAAAGTCCTTTCCTTTCTGAAACTCAAATCCTAGAGGGGTAAGAGACCTTTAGCAACCAAGTTACTTAATAGTACTAATGAGAAGTAAAGCAAAGAGTAAGGAAATGCTTTAAAGACTTGAACAGAACATTAAAGACTGGCAATGAGTAAGATACTAGAATGAAAGCTCCGTGAGGATATTTACTTGTTTTATTTTCTACTTGATCCCTAGCACTTACAACAGCAGCTGAAAGAGTAGATATTTAATATGTGTTCAGTGAATCAAAGAAGACACAAAGAACAAAAAACATAAGGGTGTGGAGTGGGGGCTACAGCATGAACAAAGCAATCAAATTTGAAAGAAACATGGTACATCCAAGAATACAGGAAATGCAGTGCAACTGGACTACATGGGATGAAAAAATGAAGCTAGAGAGATAGGCAGAACCAGATCACGAAAAATTTTAAGGACAACAATTAAGGACTTTTAATTTTATCCCAAGAGCCAAGAAAATCAGTTAAAACATTTTAAACACAAAAGCAGAGTGATACCATCAAATCGGTATTTAACATGTTATTCTGGCTAGTTTTAAGAACAGAGTAGAAAAAAGTAAGAACAAGCTGGGAAACCAGTCAGTAGGCTACTAAAATAGCTCCAACAACAAGATGGAAGCTTCGTCTACAGTGGTGGCATCACAGAGAGGTAAATATATTTTAAGATACATTTGGAGGTAATATGTATAAAACTTGGTAATTAATTGATATGGACAATGAAGGAAAGGGAGGAATCAATGGAAGATTCCCAGATTTCTGGTTTGGGTAACTGTGTAGATGGAATTTAGGGGCAAGACAAATTCAATTTTGAACAGGTTGAGTCTGAGGATGTGAAGTATCCAAGTAGAAATGTCAAGTAGGCACCACTGGCAAATCTCTTTAAGTATAAATATTTGTTTGTTCATCTCAAGACAGTTCATCTTAACATTTGCTAAAATAATAATCTAAAACCCAAATAATAAACTTCACAGGTCAAGGATTAATGTTCATAATGGAGCAGCATATACATATACAGACTTATGCTCTGAGCAACACTATCTCAAAATGTTCCCTGAAAAAGAGGATTTATGAACAAATCTGAGCAATACTGAATACGTATATTTAGGGATTCACGAACCAAAAACCTCTAAAGAAACCCTATGGCAACAAGCATGTTTAATATAAACTTTTCCAAGTTTATTTGGCCTCAAAAGCTTTTTGCACTAATATGTTAACAAAAAATGGAATTGGTATGGTCAGTGACACACTCTGGGAAATAATACATTACTGCATATTCCAACGGTAACTACAAACTGAAGTCTAGCCATCATACAAGTAAACCAGAAAATGCCATTCAGCATTTAGTTTTATTATGATAAAGAAACAAAGCATGGACTAATAAAGATTACTGGTAGAACCACTATTTATTTACTAAAATTTCTGAGCCAAAATTTAAAATATAACCTGTTTTTTAAAGTATCACCAACAAACAATGAATTCTGGAACACTGAAATTAAAAAAAATAAATAAAAATTAAAAATAAAATAAAATAAAGTGCCACCAACATAGGCAAGTAATCTCCATAATAAAGAAAAAACAATTTCTATATTAACTGAAAGAAATCTATCTTTTTCAAAACCTGTTACCTTGGCCAGAACACAAAGGCAACCCTATCAAGTTTCCAGAGAATGCAAAACGTATGCAGGTTGAGAGACCATCCTATGTTTCTATGACAGGCAAGATGGAGCCTTAAGACAGCACAGTGGTTTGGCTACTAAAAGTTAAGTCTTTAATAACTGGATGCCAGTACTAAATTCAGAATATGTCCTATTAGAAAAAAAATCATCAAGGCGCTAACAAATTTGGGCAAAAAAAGCATAATTCTCAGATGAAGGCAAAATAATTTAAAATATAAAAAATTTTAATTGTGGCATCAATCATAAATGTACCAAAGTACCAACTGCATTAATGACATTAACATCTCTGTACTTCAAAATGTAATTCTGATTTTTAAACACTTTTTTGCTAAATGTTACAAATGCTCATTATAATGATCAATTTCACTAAATTTTTCTTATACAATCATATAGCTAAATTAGAAGTTTATTTTCTTTTATAAACATCCACAGCACCATCTATAGGCAAAACTTAAGTAAGCATGCTTTTAATACAGTTCTCCACTAAAGTCTAATCCTCACAGCAACTCAAGATAATATGTCTGTATATACACAGAATATCCATCTTTGTAATAACTGAAAAGGCTTTAATAGATCTTGGTCCCAGGGAGAAGGAGAGACTAAAATTAGGAAAAGAACCGAACTCACTAGAAGTGGAAGGACTTAGGTGTACAGGTAGAACTGCTGCCACCCCTCATTAAATAAAGATTTTCTCTACCAGTTCTGAAAAATTTGCTAATTTCTTCTCTCTTTCCTATATCAAATCCCAGTATATATGTCACAGACTACCAACAATTATAGACTAGAATGAGGGGGATATATTTTCAAATTGGCCACCATGACTACATCTGCTCCTCTTTGGCATACTATGTAGTTGTGGTGAAACATACTTCCAGCTGTAATTCTGTATACTTTCTCCTAAGTTCAGTGACTTCTTCTCCAGCTTGCATCTTCTTATATAAATCCAGTTCTGTATCAAGCAATTCTTTCTGCATCTAGAAAATGGTAATTAATAATTTAAGTGACAAAAATATCCTGCATTTACAAAAAACTTTTTTTTTTTTTTTCCAAAGAGCTTTTATAGATTCCCATTTAATCCATACATTCCTTCTGTATCTCCAGTCCTACCACCCTAGTCCAAGCCATCAATCACTTCTGGTCTACACTACTACAATAGCTTCCTAACTTGTTCCTACTTCCATTCATTTCCCTACAGTTCATTTTCCATACAGAAGCCAGAGTGAGATTTCTATGGGCTGATATGAAGTAATTTTCAGGAAATAACTGTGAAAAGAAAAAAACAAAAACAAAAAACAAGATGTTAATGAGCAATATATAGTATGCTTTTACATAGGAAAGAATACATACACACATACCAAGAGGGAGAGAAGAATGGGGATAGAGTGGCAGGGATCAAAGGGAAAAGGTATTCTATATATACTTTTTTAATATAATTTAACTTTCAAATCATGTTTATGTTTTATTAAAAAATAAAGTCAGCAAGAATGAAATGGAGGGGGATCCAAAATTGACTACAAATAGACATACATTTAACTTCATTAAATTGATGGCATAATCACACAAAAGGGGAAAAAAAGTAATCATAGGCCACAGTTTTAACCCTATACTCTTAGTTGAATATATTGTGAGCTTGTAAAAAATGCAAATACATTTTGAATCTTTTACTTAATGGTCGGAAGTGCTATTGTTACAGCAATTCAGGAACTATGTGGAATGTATTAAATGACTGTGAAAATGAGTACTGTACTGATGTTAGTGGGAAGCAAGCTGTCATTATGGCAACAGGAGATAAAATATGGAATAAGAGGAGGAAAAGCAGCATCCTGTGGTACTGGAATCAGAAATATCAATATGAATTCATGATTTTACACATATACGTACATACACACAACACCAAGTATAAATATTGTATAACTGGAGATTTTTAAAAATCACTTACTATCACATGAAATTATCTTCCTCACTTATTCACATCCAACAGATTGATGTACTTGAATTTCCCCCCTTTTAATCAATTCAATATAAGGCTACTGGAATGTTATTTTTTTTTAAGATCTTATTTACTCATTTCAGAGAAAGAGAGAGAACGAACAAGCAGAGGAGTAGAGACAGAAAGAGAAGCAGACTCCCCACTGAGTAGGGAGCCGGACATGGAACTTGATTCCAGGACCCAGAGATCATGACCTGAGCCAAAGGCAGATGCTTAACCAACTGCGATACCCAGGTGCATCCGGAATGTTACCTCTGTTTATTAACCTTTTGTACTATGAACTCCTTATAAAATAAAATAAAGTTCAAATTCTTCCCTCAAGTACTTGTATCACTTTGTCCTCAAGTTATCTTTTAAAGATTATCCGTAACTATTCTCCTAATTACTGACTTTACAACGGTAATCTAAAGAATTTAAAAAATTAATAGAGACAGGATTTAAAAGATTAATAGAGTTTGCTTATCTATACATATTTACTATTAATTAATGAAGGAGGGGAAAAATGTTAGCAAAGAATAGTCAGATTTTAAGCAAAAGATATTACCTAAAAGGAAAATAATCTTAAAGCAGTGTAACATTTAAATGGTTTTTAGTAAGTAGTATAATGAAGAACAACAAAAAGTAAAATACCTGAGTCTTGGTTTTTATACTTTTTGGAAGACAGCGTCCAGGAGAAACAGCTTTGACTTCATCTTTCAATTTGGTAATATTTTTTGTCAAAACCTCTAAAGTTTTCATTATTTCTGCTTTATCTTCAGACTTCATTGATTTGTTTTTCTCCAGTTTTGAAATTAACATCTGCCAAATTTTTAAAAAAGAAAAAATTAAGATACGTATTCCTCATACTATTAACAAAGCAAACACAGCAAAATAAATATAAAAATAAATAACTACTAGTTTTAGTTTATATATTTATGGCAAGGCTTACAACTTCTAAGCAGAATAACAGATTTTGGTGGTGCTATCTCAAGTCTTAATCTTGGCACACTTTGTAAAGAATTACACATTATCACTGGTCTCTCAGAATATAAGTTCAAAGCATAAACATACAAAATTCAATCTGACCACCGAAAAGTGGTCAATTTAAAGTAATATCAGTAATTTTACTTTCCAATCCTTATGGATATTAGTGGCCCTAAGTATTCCCATTCCAAATGTAGTCTGCAACCCAGAAAGAACCAGAGGAAGTTTTATGGCTCCCTTCACATAATGAAATCTTAAAAAATTACTTACTTTCTTTGTCACAGGGAACAATAACTGGCTAACGTAAGACTGATATCCCCAACATGGACAGGAATCAAAAGATAAACAAGGCAATATGGGGTAGAAGATACCACATATTACAGGTTTTCTCAGTCAAGCTGGTTTCAGTTTGTAAAGTACTGTAATTTCTGTTTACCAAGTATATCCAAATTTAAATTAGAAATTATAAGTGAAAATGTAAGAAGTTTCTGCATTTTCAATATTTTGAAATGTCGTAACTTTTATTACTAGACATAATCAAAAACTGACACTAATTAAATGTCACAGAGCAACCCTGTACAAAATATTGCAAACCATGCAATTTTACATTTTTCTAGCAGCCACATTAAAAAGACTTTAAAAAACCCAAACCAGTAAAGTTAATACTGTGTTTAACTCAATATATCAAAATGCTATATATACTGTGTTTAACTCAATATATCAAAATGCTATATTTCAAAAAAATTTACTGAGATGTTTTACTTTTTTCCTTCATATTACATCTTTGAAATCTAGTATCCATTTTATATCCACAGAGCACATAACAATTTAGACAAGACTTTTCTCAAGTACTCAAAAGTTGGATGAAGCTACTACCTACCATACTGGACGACACAAAACTAGAGGATTCCAAGCCAATTAAAGAAAGATACATATTTCAACAGAAAAAAAACCTGAGAAAAAGGTTCCAATTCACTATCAGTTGACAAACTACTATGCAGCAACATATCTTGATAAACACTCATTTTCACTTCAAGTTGACCACCCGAGTTCCCTGAAATCACTCCAAACCCCAGTTCACCATTTAATGCTCTTCATCCTCAATACATTAATCAACTGATATATATACCTTATCACAGACAAATATTTCCGTTTTACCCTTTCCAATTATGTAAAATTTATTTCTTAGGATTAGCTATATAGTGTCAAATTAAATTTACTTAAAATTAAAAGAACATAAATATATTTTGCCAAATCTAGTATTTTACCTTCTGTGTTTCAATGTGCTTTTCTAAAATTTCTTGTTTCCTTTTCCTTACATCTTGCTGAAGTTTCAGTGCCTCCTAGTGAAAGAGACCAAGAATATCACTAGAATATTTACTGTGTATTTTTCTGATAAACAGATATTCCAGAGGAAAGAAATGGTTGTAGATGCAGCACTTTGGCAACAATTAAATGTAAAGCTTACAAGTTAAATACATATGTAAGTTTCAAGAGAATCCTTCAACCCAAAATTAATACCTATTATTACACTATGAAAAACAGAGAAGTTCAGTGGCAGCCAACATACACTTTTCTTTTAGTTCTGTCTTGTGATAAGTCTTGAAAAAACACATATATGCAGAAAAGCTTTCCTACATGCACATTTTGGACACTATTATCTGTATTTACCTGTTTTTTTTTCTGTGCTTCATTATTATCAACTGCAGAGGTGGAAACGAGTAAGGTTTTCTGTGCAGCCTTCAAAGCAGCTGGATTATATACTGTTTTAGTTAGGCCAGTAGATGTAGACAACACCTACCAATACAAATTCAATTTATTAAAAAATGTATTAAGCATTCATGATGCCTGTCTTTTCTACAAAACCCAATTTTAAAGCACTTTTGTCAAAAATCAGTACACTGAAATAAATGTATTATTTAAATAATTGTAACATTATCAACTAAACCACATTTAGTGTTTTGAAAGGGTATGACTGAGGCATAAACTATAAAATTAAAAAAACTAAACAGCATATACCTATAGAAAAAAAAGAACATACAAAAACTGGAAATCAAGAAAAAAACACTGCAATTACTGTATCACTGTGAAAATATTAGTTGCTAAAAACATTTACTTAATATCCCTAGTGACTAGAGCAAACACTGTACACAAGAGCATGACACAGGAGGAAACTGGATACTGTCCCTCAATTTAACATGATCATTCACGATTTATAGTTCTGAAATTAACCTTTGTTAAGAACTTAAGAAACTGCTTTCTTTCTCCATTCCTTTTGATGCATTGATCCCTCTGTTTTAAGTGACCCTATTCCCTTAAACCTAGCTCAAGTTCAGCACCAAATGGTCAAGACCTCCACAAACCCCTAATTATTTATTTCTTCTACCCAGATCCTTCCATGAAATTTTATTCCTACGGCTATTCAAACACCTAACTAAAATGACCTAATGATGTATTAATTTATGTGTCCGTCTATTCAGTAAAACCACCAAAACCACGTCTTTCTCCTCTTTGCACTTCTTCTAGTACCTAAACCTTGTTACCAACTGATTATGAGACTCTAGGTAACTTCAAGCACCTTCTTTGGGCCTCAGTTTGTTCATCTATAAAATGAGAATGTTTAAGTTGATGGCATCTAATGTCCTTACAAACTCAACAATTCATTCCATGAGGGTACAGCTTTTTTTTGCTTCATTCACCGCTCTATCTTCAGTGCCTAGAACAGTGCCAGGGCATGTAGTAAACACTCAATGAATAGTTTTGCACTAAATTAAACTGAAATGATGATAGACTGAAGTGTACAATCTACACAAGGGTCATTCATGAAAATAAAAGTATATAGGCCACCTTTTTCATTCTTCAAAAGCAGGAAGCTGTAGGTTCCAGGGTGTGGCCAGTTACCAGTTTTTAAGAAAGGAGTCTAGAGATCCCTTAAGAGTAATCTATGAATGTTATAAAAACTAAACATGGAACCATATGTGTGAACAATGTAACTTTCCAGAGGAAAAAAAACAGTTTCCAAAGTGTTAAGGGAGTTCCCTTCTTAAAATAGGTTAAAAGAACTACACAAACAGAAGATTATCAGTGAGAAAAAGCCCGACCTTTTAGCTACTAAAATATAAACATCTGGGCCTATCAGAGAAGTACCAGACACTATTTTCTAATGTGCTTTCATGAAGTTAGATTAGTAAACATCACAAAGATTAGACAACTCATCACTAGTCTAAGTATTCAAGAATGTTTTAGCCTCCAAGTAACATAAAAACCTAGAATACTATTAATTATACTGGTTCTACACAATAAAACTGATGTTTAAAAATAAAGGTTCTTTATAATACTTGAGGTGTATCAAATCTGACTGATAATTTTCTTCAATAACGAAAAATAATACTCAGATATCACTAAAAATAATGAAACGGTTGCCTTCGGTAATATATGGAGTAAATACAGATTTACTTTGCAGTCTATTCTCTGAAATATCAGAAAAAAAATTTCTTCTAAGCTACCTTACCATACCACGTGATGCTAAACTGCAGGATCATACAAGGATGACAGAATAACTTTATAGAGAAACACAAGATAATGTGCTAAAGACAGTCTGAGTGTCTCATAAACTGTTTCCTTCATGAGTGCGCCATAAAGAGTTGAAAAGTTGTGACCAAAAAGATTTTTACACTCAAATAAGTTGGAAATAATACAAACCTACTTTCTAGTTTCAAGATGCATTTTACCATAAAAGCTGTGAGAAGGCCTGAAGTAAAGAAACCCATGTAACTTGTTTAATTTGGCATTTCTCCAATTTCAGTGAGAAGGGAACACTCCTTTTCAAAGTATACTTGTTAACATCTGATACCAGACTAAGGAATACTGATTTGAAGTGAATAAAACTATATGACAAGAATGAGAAGACTCCTTTACTCCTAAAAGCATCTCACCTCCTTGTTTTATCTAGGAACTGCCTTCTATTCTCTCTACACAGAACATTAGCTGGCATATTTCACGGAGTTCAAGACATCACTATGAAACACATTATCACAACGTACCCTACTAAAGACAAAAATGTTGCCAATTATAGCCTCAAACACAAATAAGATGTAGCCTAATTCAGAGGTGTTGAAAGGTGAAAATAAAATGTCTTATAAACAATGAACTATATGATCACAAAAACTGCTCAATATTTGAATCTATTTGGTTCTAGAGTTTAGACAGTAAGAGTATGAATAGCAAGGGATATCTGTATTTTCAATAGACAAAGATGGAGTTGTGATAAAAGAGAAGAAAATCTGTTAAGAATGAAACCAGTGGAAGGACATGACAAATCCAAAAGAATAGAAGGTGCTACAACTCCTGAGAACAAAGTCAAAGCACAGGTGGTGGCTTTTCAAACAATCACACCTTCTCTATTTTCCAAATGGGTTTCTGCCTGCGCTGTATTTTTTTTATATATTGACCTTACTGAATTCACCTATTAATTCCAAAGGTTGGTGAATTCCTTTGGATTTTTCACATATATGATGTCATCTGCGAGTAAATATAGTTTTGTTTCTTCTTTTGCCATCTTTTCACCATTTATTTCATTTTCTTGCCTTACTATACTGGTTAGGCCCTACACTTAAAAAAGTGATGATTTCAAGAAGAGATCTTGTTCCTGATCTCAAGAAGAAAATCATTCAATATTCCACTATTCAGTATTTTAGCTCTAGAGGTTTTATGAAGAAAAACTTTATCAAATTAAGGAAGTTTCTATTCTTATTTTGTGTGCTGTTTTTTGTGACTAAGTAATAAATTTCATCATATGCTTTTTCTACTGAAATAATCATAGGAGGTTCTTCCCACTTTTCTCCCCCTTTTTCTGTTAATGTGGTAAATTAAGTGGATTTTCAAATGTTAACTCAAATCTTGCATTTCTGGAATAAATTCTACCTGGCCAGCATGTATTTTCTTTCTCCTTATCACTGAGAACTTGCTAATATTTAGCTTAGGATTTTTAGGTATACATTCATGAGCTATTGCTTATAATTATCCCTTATCTTAATATACTTGTTAGGTTTGGTGTCAAAGGTTTGTTGAATTCAAAAAGTGAGCTGAAAAGTATCATATATGCTTTGTCATTAAAATGTACATACCACTACTACCTCTCACTTTCCAAGACAAAAGTCAATTTCTTAACAAGACAAGTTACAATCCATTAACACCTCTTTATCTTATTTCCTATGTAAATTATTATCAGACGTAACTACTATTAATTCTTGTAAATAAAAAGAAAAACAGGGGCGCCTGGGTGGCTCAGTGGGTTAAGCCGCTGCCTTCGGCTCAGGTCATGATCTCAGGGTCCTGGCATCGAGCTCTACATCGAGCTCCCTGCTCAGCGGGGAGCCTGCTTTCCTCTCTCTCTCTCTGCCTGCCTCTCTACTTGTGATCTCTCTCTGTCAAATAAATAAATAAAATCTTAAAAAAAAACAAACAAACAATCTTGGTAATAATTCTGACTAAATAATCCAGGTAATAATCCTGAGAGAGATCAATGCATTTAAAAAAAAAAATCAGGGGCACCTGGGTGGCTCAGCCATTGAGCATCTGCCTTCGGCTCAGGTCATGATCCCAGAGTTATGGGATCAAGCCCTGCATCAGGCTCCCTGCTCAGCAGGAAGCCTGCTTCTCCCTCTCCCACTCCCCCTGCTTGTGTTCCCTCTCTTACTCTCTCTCTTTCTGTCAAATAAATAAATAAAATCTTAAAAAAAAAAAAATCAAAAGTATTCAATAACAGTTACAAAAAGAAACTCAAGAAAAGAAATTCCTTAACTGTTATATTTAAAGTAGCAAAATTACAAAACAAATGAAAATTAAAACATCAGAGAGTTACTTAGATGGCTGCATTTTTTAGTTAAGGAAACTGAGAGAGTAAGCTTTGTTCAGGATCATACCTAATGTCAGCTGTTAACTCAACAGCTGAAGTCTCCAAATGACTCGAAATGTTCCTTCAGTATACCACATAATTTCCCTTTTAAAAGTCCCATGGTGCATATGTTAACATATCATATTGCAAAGAGACAAAGATACATATTTTTAGATTTAAAAAAGGTCGGGGGGGGGGAGAGAAAGAAACTATTGCTAAGCTGCTAAGGAACAATAACATCCTACACCTGAAACTGATAATGATACACAAACCTTAAATATTCATGTAATTAATCATTTTATTTTCTTAGTTAAGAAGGGTCTTAGGGAGATAATTTGGACAGTCTTAAGTCTTTCTGTAGACTAATCAAGGCAGTAAAGACAGATGCCACCTTTATTCTTAATAAATCACTCTATCTTGAGAAGTACTCAAACGTCATTTCACTGATCACTCTTTCCAAATCATACTATTTAACAGCTATTGCAATGTCTTAAGATTTCAGTGTATAAATTAGGTTTTAAGTTTTCTCTCTCAACATAAAAATGGACTTTTAGAATAAAGAATCACTGAAGGGTTTACTCAGTGTTGTTCAGAGGAAGCGGAAATTTTTTATATTTGTATACTTACTTGCTTTCATAACGACAGAAGACACTGTATAGGTACTAGTTTTGAGTATTTCCCAGCCTTCAATTTGATGATGGGAAACATTCTTCTATCCTTCCTAAAACTTCTCTGAATCACTAAGCTCTAAGGATTCTTCATCAAAAACCCCTACAGACTTGGGGAACGGGAACAACCAAGAATAAGCAAAAACAAAACGCTATTCTATAAAGAAGTTCACTGAAGATGACTGAAAGTTACACACTTCTAAATAACTGCTTTCCTTAAAAGATTCTTTAGAGGGGCACCTGGGTGGCTCAGTCGTCAAACATCTGCCTTCAGCTCAGGTCATAATCCCGGGATTCTGGGATCGAGCCCCGCATTGGGCTCCCTGCTCAATGGGAACGCTGTTTCTCCCTTCTCCCTCTCCCCCTGCTTGTGTTCCCTCTCTCGCTGTGTCTCTCTCTGTCACATAAATAAATAAAATCTTTAAAAAACAAAAAAAAGATTCTTTAGAGTATTTACAGTATTTCTTCATAAAAATACTACCATTAGTGATGTTTCAGTTAATGGTAACTCTATTACTAAATGTACACTATCAATTCCAAATCTGTATCTCTTTTATCCTGAAGCTATATAAAACACATTAAAAAAAAAAAACAACAGAAGCAAACATACCAGTAAAGTTCTGTAAAAGCTATAAATTTCAGGGTCTAAATCTTGACATAAACAGATGCTAAGTATAAAGTTTTCAGAACTCTCCAGAATTGGTCATTACTAAACAAAGTGTAACAGACTTATTTTCTTTATTCCTTAGTTACTTACTATCAAGATGGATAAACCTAATCAAAGTAAATATTTAGATACTGCTAAAGTCAGTAGCATGGACTAAGATATAGACAAATACAGGGGGGAAAAAAGGGAGGCATCATATGGGGGAAAAAATTAAAGATTTTATAGAATAGGGTAAAGAGATTTTTTCAAATCTTTAAAAGAATGACTAGAATTCACTTAGAGGAAAATGTACTCCAGGAAAATCACCACCAAAAAAAGAAAAAGAAAAAAGGCAGGAAAGAGTGAGAAATAATGAGCAGAAAAAGGCTTGCTAAGTTAAAAAGAAGATCTAACACAGAGACATAAGCCCCAAATAACTGAGATATGATATGCTATGAATCAAGCAGTTATGTAGCTGGGGAAATGAAGTTCTTAACTTCTGTAAGAAGTTAACATTAAAATAAGTCTGGGAGTACAGTGGTGGTAGTATAAACTACAGGAGCATACGGCTAGGACACCACATCCAGAGGCCAAGAAACTGAAGGTGGTGGAGAAAAAGAAGTAGATGACAAACACAAGTGAATGACTCTCAGGTTTTTAGACTGCACAACTTGGAAAATGGTGGTATAACTTCCAGAGTTGGAGTGAGGAGGAGAGGTTAATTTAGGAGGGAAATCATCATTTTTTAAGTACGTTATGCCTGAAGTAATGTTGAGGTGCCCAAGACGAAAATCTGAAATACGGAATGAGATTCAAATTCAAATTTCTCGAAATGCCTTAGTTTAACATGGCAAATAAGGAAGAGAATATACTGAAGAACCAGCAAAGAGAGGTTAGCCCTTTCATGGGATCTCTATTTAACATACAGAGTCAACTTTCTATATAATCTTAATAATGGAAAGAGCCATGGATATAAAATAGAGGAGACCCACATTCCAGTCCTGACTCAGTAATTCCTAGTTTATCCACTGGGCCTTACCTTCCTTCTAAGATGAGGACACAGAAATGAGAAAAATGATCTAATCCTATTCTGTGATTCCATATATCAAATAAGACTAAAGACCAGAGCATTCACTCATACCTAAATGGAAAAAATAAATAACACACCTACACAAAACTATGAGATAGGTCCATTTAATCAGCAATTACCCCATTGTTTAAAAAAAGAAATGACAAATGACAATTGTCAGGCTATGTACAATAGCTGTTAGTAATAAATAACAAATTTACATTTACATCACCCTTTCCAATTTAAAAAATACTTTTAAATGAATCATTTTATTTAATCCTCACAAAACTCTGTGAGCAACACAAATTTACAATCATTTCTCCAACAAGGAAAAGGAATCGGAAAGGTTAAGAGCACTGCCCAGTATCATGCGGTTAGTAAGTGAAGAGCCAGAACTCAAACTCAGGTAAAATTCCTAATTTGTGGCCTTTTCCATTAGGCTGCCAGAGTTTTCAAATTAAAATGCACAATGTCGCTAAAGAAAATATAGTAATAAAATGAGAAAATGAAAAGAAGGAAGCACATGGACACATAGAGGCAAATATTAAAATGCTGATGCAAAAAGTAAAAAAAAAAAAAAAAGGTAGGCAAATTTTTTTCTTTTTCAGCAGATGGAAAGCAAAAAGGTAGGAATAAGAGATACAGATACTATTAAGAAGCAAGAGTTTAGATCTAGGAAAAAAATTTAAAAATTAAGATGCCACCTGAAAACATTTATGAAGCCAAGACAAACAGATCATGCTATTATTCTTCTTACCTTTTCAGTTGCTGAAACAGATGGCTTTGATACAAAACCCAACCTGTCCTTCACAGATAACTTAGTTACATTCTAAAAAAATTAAAATGGACATATTCAGTGTTTCCCCAAACACACAGGTCTGTTGGGATTTTGAACATTCTGATTCTACTAATATATACTAACTCGTTAAGCATACTGATGTTAATCACACAAACTTGGGCCTTTTTCAAAGACAGAGACAGAAAGAAAATGTGTGTGGAAAAACAAATAGTACGCAGTATTATGCACTCATAAAAAAATCATGATGTAAAGTAAGGTTTCAACTAGGTATTTATTAAAGTCCCTCCACTGATACAGAATCATAAATTCTTAGAATCCTATGTTGACAAGTGTGCAGAAAGTATGAACACTGTAAATATTAGATTTGAGTAACTAAAATATCTGCCTGCTTCTTGAGCTTAAAAATAAAAGCCATTCTTTCCTAAAGTATGTTTCTGTAGCCAAATACACTGTATCTGGTGATGATTTGAGATAACAGGATGGGGAATTATTATCCCTGGGGTTTTTTTTAGTAATTGAAAATTTATCAATTTCCGTTCTGCATGTTTCCATACAATCTCATTATCTGACTCTTCAGGAATTACCTAGAAGACTATTTTAATAAAATAGCATCCTAACTACATCCTAATGCTTACATTGAACAACAAATGCTAAAATATCTAGAGAAAAAGAAAGCTAAGTTTCAAAGACGGAGGGTGCAGAAACGAGAAACTGCCACTCAAGCGTGGAAGGCAGTGGGAAGGGAATGACATGTGGAGAAGAGAATCTGAAACTCAGGAATGAGTGATGCAAAGTTCTGAGAACTATGTAAGTAACTTGAAACAGTATCATCAAGCATGCTAAAACCTGATGGCTTAAGCATTCCCTTCGCAAAAGCTTTTGGTGCAGTCTATTGTATCATCTTCTCTGGAATAGAAATCTAGTCAAGTAAAAGATGATGGGAAAAATAAGATTTAATATACTGAACTTCATTTTTCAGGCAGTTTTGCTTAAAATTAATTCCTTCACAAAGTGAAAGGGAACTCAAGTATTAACTAGAGAGAAGAATTTAAAATTCAAATACTATAGGAAAAACAGAATGTGAAAATCTTATGCTAATGGTAAAAAGAAAATTTACAGGCGGAGTTCATATACGTACAGACTGTATTTCTGTATAAGATATACACAATTAACTATAATTCGAATCACAAGGGACACTAATTTGCTGAGAACCCTGTTATGAGACACACACAATAAGACTTTTCATTTACCTGAGGAAGGTCTGAACTGGCACTCTGTGCTTCTGCTGGTTCAATAGTATTTGAAGGTACCGGACCCAATCGCTCTTTGACTGACTGCTTCACAACAGGCAAAATGGGCTGCTGGACTAAGGGCTGCATTACCTCAGAACAAGAAAAAAATGTTAAACAAGAGGATCAGCTCATGAACATGTCAAGTAACCTCTGTTATTTGTTATTACATTGCCCACGCAGACAGTTTTAAAAGTGCAGCTTATAATCAAAACCTGTCTTCCAAATTCCTTCACACACATATATAGATGTTTTTCTTTGCATAAATTAACTTATTTATAAAGGAAATAATGAACAGGAGAAAATTCAATCGAGAAACAAACTGCTATAAAATCCTCCTGTAAGCAACTGATCTAACATTAGTGACTGATTCAGTGACTGAAAAAGAGAAAAGAGGGAAGGTGGGAGGAAGAGAGGAAGGGAAGGATTTCCAAAACGAACACACAGTATGAGTTTCTGGAATATGTATAAGCTACCACATACTATCTCCTATCTACTAGGGACTTTTCTATATGCTTTTTATCTTATCATCCAATGATTCTCTAAACTAGGGACTAACTTCACAATAAAGAGAACAGGTTAGGGACATTAAATAAGTTCCTTCAGTCTTCACGTTTCGGAGGTAGAGCCGGAATCTGAATTTAAGTCTACCTGACTGCAGTACTCCTGCTCTTAAACACTGTATGCTAAGAGCTTTCTGAGAAAAGCACTGAGTTTCACACAAATCTCTCTCTTACCTTTGGAGAAGTAGTTTGTAACTGCTGGGTACTTCCTTCTCTGTGCCAATAAACCTTAATAAAGCGATTGTTTAGTACTGCTTCTGTACTTGATATAGCTTTCTTTGCTTCTTCATATGTTGCAAATTGGATAAGGGCACCTTCAGGATCACCATTATAAGCAACCTAAGATTTAAAATATTAAGACCAGTGAATTCCAAAAGAATCCATTGTTTCATCCAATAAAATTCCTCAAGAGATGAAATTCTGGTCCTTCCAGGAAGTATTCTATCTTTACCCTTTCTTACACCTAGATTATTTACCACAGTTTACTTTCACTCCCAAAGAAATGTTAACTAAGGACTGTATAAAAAATGCAAACTGATACAGTAGTGAGATACCATGTTTTGCTCCTCAGTTTTGAAAATTTCCCTAAATTAATTTTACCAGGGCACTTAAATTGCAAGAGGAAAAGAATATTCTGAAAACTTTTTTGTGTCTACATCTAAATGTGGTAGATAAAATTGAATTGCTGTAAAAAGATACTCAGAGATATTCAAGATTACGTAACTGTGGAGTAATATGTATACCATGGGCCCGCATATTTTTTAACATATATATATCTTTTGCGTGTGCTAACTGATAAATAGATAGATAAATACAAAAAACCTAGAATAATATATGATATATTTTTAACAATAATAGGATTATGGGGCTATATGGGGAAAGGAATGAGAAGTACACAAAGAGTTAAGGTGGAAACATTTCCTTTAAATTCTATATAAACTTCTATTGCCCCGGGGCGCCTGGGTGGCTCAGTGGGTTAAGCCTCTGCCTTCAGCTCAGCTCAGGGCCTTCAGCCCAGGGGTCCTGGGATCGAGTCCCACATTGGGCTCTCTGCTAGGCAGGGAGCCTGCTTCCTCCTCTCTCTCTCTCTCTCTCTCTCTGCCTGTCTCTCTGCCTACTTGTGATCTCTCTCTGTCAAATAAATAAAATCTCTAGGGGGAGAAAAAAAAAAAACTTCTATTGCCCCACACCAAGCAAGCATGCATTTTTTCATGTTCTTTTTATATTATTTTTTATTTATTTATTTTTAAAGATTTTATTTATTTATCTGACAGACAGAGATCACAAGTAGGCGGAGAGGCAGGCAGAGGCGGCGGGGTGGGGAAGCAGGCTCTCCTGAGCAGGGAGGCTGATGCGGGGCTCGATCCCAGAGCCCTGGGATCATGACCTGAGCCGAAGGCAGAGGCTTTAACCCACTGAGCCACCCAGGTGCCCCTATATTATCTTTTAAATGTCAAAAAAGCAAAATTTTCCAAATAATCGACTTCAGTTGTACTCTCTAAAAGTTATTTTTAACAGGTTATGGGAAGTAATTATTTTAGTTGAAAAGAACACCATACATACTGGAAAAAAAGCCCAACATTATTATAGTATTTTTGACATATATAATGTTAACTCAATACTAAATAATCTCACAAATTACAAATACCCAACCCGAGGTCTAATTTTAGGTGAAGTCATATACAAATTACACTGATTCTTAATCCTTAAGGATGTTCAAAAGTGATAGAGGAAAAGTAAATATTTGAACTAATTAAGTATTCCTTAATTAGCTGATATTTGGGCCCCCCAAAGGTTATCGTTTAAGTGCTTCCCGATATACGAGCAGCAGAAACATCCTGACTGAAGCATTCTGTTGTAATGCTTCAGAGAAACTGAGGAAATGAACACTATTAAAGATTAGATATTCCTGGGCACCTGGGTGCCTCAGTGGATTAAGCATCTGCCTTTGGCTCAGGTCATGATCCCAGCCAGCATCCTGGGATCGAGCCCCACGGTGGGGTCTCCTCTCAGTGGGAGCCTGCTTCTCCCTCTCCCTGCTTGTACTCTTTCTGTGTCAAATAAATAAATAAAGTCTTTTTAAAAACTAAAAAATAATTTTAAAAGATTAGATTTTTCTACTCTGATTAAAGTTTGCTATAATTTTGTAATAACTTCTATTAGGTAGAAAGTATATAATATGATCAATCAAAACTCCTTGCCTTCTGAGAGCAAAAAACTTACTCAAAATCACACATTGTTTTAAAAATATAGTTTCGTATCATTCCAATTTTCCAAATTTAGAATGTCACCAAATTTTCCATATTCCTTTATAAAAGTATTTTTCTTACTACATTAAAATCCCTCCCTAAATAATTAAGCAAAGACCACAGAATTACTGCATAGCTCTTACCTGTAAGTTAACCAAGGTTCCAAATCGACTAAAATGTTCATTAAGTTTGCTGATATTATTTAATTCTGGAGGAACTTTTCTAAGTTCAAGTTTGGTGTTTTCATTTCCAAACTGAACCTTCTTCTGGAAGCCTGGGCTGTTTGTTCTATTAAAATTTGGCCTGTAACAAAAAATCAAGTTGATTAATATATTTATTTATAAATCCTGCCCCCTATCAAGCAGAGATTAATAAGGTTTTACAATTTAAGTTCTATTGTTTTTTCAAAACTGAAATTACTGATTGATAAAGAAAATTGAAATTTTCTTCCAAAAACTGAAATTTCCTAATTACTACTGTACATATCTTTCACAGTAGCTAACTGAGAAGGGTTCTCCTATGCCATTTATTATGTCCCACTTTGAATCCACGCCCACTTAAGCAGGAAAGGTCCAGTGCTCTTTCAGTAAATTTGCATATACAATTTTTGTTGCACTTCTGCAAAAGCTAGCTTACTGAAATGTATCCTATTCTAAAACACTGATTAAAAACAAGGTATAACCATCTCAACCACTTTCCACCTTAAAAAAAAAAATGTCAAAACTGTAAACCATACATTTGGCACTTGAAAAAAGGCCAAAACTGTGGCCCAGAGAGGTTATACACTTTCCTTACATCACAGAATTACAGGCAGAGCCAGAACTAGATAGTACCCATTACTAAATTATGTTAAAGCTCTGAAAGTGTGATCCTCTCTCCTTTAACTTACAAATGTTATAAGAGAATCTTCACACGCACCCCAACATTCTGGTTCTTTCAATGATCCTCTTTCTCTGAAGCCCTTCCCTGACAACTTTAATGACTATCCAGCTCCCCAAAAGATCACTTTCCAGCTCTTAATAGGACTTGCCTACATGCTAAAGCCTCTTCCCAAACCTGACCCAACTTCCTTCTCGAATAGTGGTCTCATGACTATCCTTTATATAGGTAGTTTTCACTGACATCTCTAAGTTAAGCAGTGTTTTTTTCCGGAGGTGGGGAAAGGAAGGAAGAGGAAAAATTGTGTCCTTGACTACCACAACACTTCTGTATGAAAATACCCTCCAAGTACCTATTAACTTACAAATATTTAGAAATCAATGTACACTATAGTGTGAGACTGCTTATAGAAAAGAATTATATAAAGCTCATTTTGAAAGAGAATACTATATTGCCAAATAATATTCCAGTATCCTAAAAATCACTATACATTAAAATTTCTCAATCCTGCCAGCTTACTTATCAAACCAGGTCTTCTTTGTAGGAGCTCCAGGCTCCCCGGAACCAATGGTTCTTTTCCTTGATTCTGAATCCACTACTATCCTCATACTGCTTTTATTAGGAGGTTTTTCTGTTTGAAAAGAAAAGAGAGCACAGATTAATATTTTCTGTTTATCACAGATACTTCCTTACATGCATACTGAAAACAAAGTTCTGGCTTCTTGTCCAAATACACATTTTTAGAAGAAACAGAAATAAATGCAGATTCAAATATAATAACCTAAAGGATTTTAACTTATTCTGAATTCACTTCATATCTAACTAAAGAAGACTCAGTAATTCTTACATGTCAAATTACAATATGACTCCACAGGCCACTTCTTTTGAAGGTAGCGGTGGGGGGAAGGGAACGGTAAAGGTAAAATCAATGTCACTGTTTTCACTGGCCATCACCCTCCCCGTAAATAAATGTACAAATAAATCAGAAATTTAAGTTTCTGATTTATTTAAGGCTTTGAGTTCATAGTTTTGAAATCAAATGCACGACCTGAATTTAACATTTATTCAAATTCAAATTTATTCAAAATTTAACATCAACCCAATGACTTTCAAGAATTGATAACTTAAAAAAAAAGAATTGATACAGTTGTGATTGAAGTTGCCTATTTAAATATCAACACAGTAACACAAAGCACACTTGATTTAGAAAGGTATTCAAGATTGAAAGCACACTTGATTTAAAAAGGTATTCAAGATTGAAATGCAGTGTAAAAGAGCTGTACACATCTGCTACTTCCAACACTTTACATTTACTTAGTTGGAATGTGACAAACAGGTACATTTAACCTGTTATTCTGAAACAACACTAAAGCTTAAAACATGCAAATCTTAATCCACATAGAAAAATATAATTTTAAAATTCTTTTTAAAGATGGATAAATTGATTGCATACCTCCTGTTCTTAATATTTCTAAACACATAACTAACCAAAATAACTTAAGGTGTTCCAGCACAACCTCTCATGGATGGCTATAACTCTGATCTCCATGCAGGAGATCATATCAATCTCTCCACCACACATGAACTCTTGTCCAGAAGTCAGTTCTCAATTTCTAACTTGTCAGTTTTCTCTGGCCATCTAGTTCTCAAAATCCTACAGGTTTCTCAAAACTCAGAGTACATACAAAGTACAAATTATCTTCATATCAAATGTACTATTAAGTCTTTCTTAAGCATTTCTATTAATGAAACTACTATTTGATTTCTGAGTCTGCCCACATCCCTTCAATTCACCTTGCATATATTTCCTCTCATTTCTCACCGAAACAACCCTGGTCCAAACTTACATTACTTATCACCAAGTCTAATGTACTAACTGAATTTCTGCTCCTGGAGTTCCTTCCAGTAATTCATCCCATATAAAGATCAGTAAAATCAGTGTCCCAGAGCTCTGCTGTTTTCCTTCATCTTCAACCTCTTCCTCTAAACTGGAACTTCCCATCAACATTTAGCAAGCTCAAATTACCCCATTTTTAAATGAAATCTCGTAAAACTACTTCCCCTCCAGGTACCACCATCCCTTGCTCCCCACATTCACAGCTATTTCCTAAGAAATGTTACACTTGCTAACCTGCTTCCCTACCATCCATTCACTAATCCTCCAAAAACTGGCAGCCGCTCTCATTACTACACTTAACTTTCTCATCCTAAATTTGCTGATGTCCTAACTTGTTGCTTAAGCTTATAAATATATCCCAGTCCTTCTCTTACTTGACCTCTTATCATTAAATGCTGTTGATCACTTCTTTTCCTATCTTCTTTGGATTTTTCAGGACTCCTCACTCCCTGATTTTGTTTGTGCCTTCCTGACTTCATTTTCTCAGTGCCCTACTTAAGCTCCCCCTTCTCTGCCCACAGCTTCAAATACTGGTGTTCTCCAAGGTTACTTACTTGCACTTTCCAATCTCGCTCTACACAATCACCTTAAGACATCTATTACCATGGCTTCATTCATCATTTTTAGTGATTCTCAAAGGGAAGAAAAGTATATCAGAAACATACGAGAAGAGTTTTCAGAACCCTTATCAGTCAGGCTTGCAGATTTGGATATGCTTCATTCCATCTTCCTATACCTCCCATAATTACTAATGGCACAGAAGAAAAGATTAAGAACCACTGTTTTACATGCTCATGATTAAAAATCTGTATTTTCTAAACTATCTCTCTCTTAAGAGACCTGACGTCCAGATCTTACTTCCAACTGGACATTTCTCTTCAAACGCCCCAGGACACAACAAATTAAACACTTCCAAAACTAAATTTATTTTCCTACCAAATCTGTTCTTCCTCTCAATGATATTAGCAGCTGCCCAATTATCCAGAGCAGAAATCGGATGTCTTCAATTTCATGCTCTCCATTTCACCCATTCTAAGTCCCGCGATCCAATAATGTCGTCAATTCCACTAAATTGAAATCTTTCATTTTCCACTGGTAGTACCCTACCCCAGCTATTATACTGTCATCTCTTTTTCTAGAATTCTTTAAATGCCCTTAACTGGTCTCATACCTCCCTCCACATATCTCACTCCCTCTGTTCCAGTCATTAAGTTTTCAGTTTCTCAAAAGTATTATGGAATGTAATTGCTTTACCTACCCCCTTTCTCTGGCTAAATCATCCTATGTTTCCACAGCAGATCAGGTGGAAACATCCACTATCTAACACTGGTGATATTCACAGTGCAAGCTGGCAGCCTCTTTGCTCAGTGGCACCTTTGCAAGACCAGTTCTGCAACAGGATTTGTGGCCTTACTGTTGCCTCCCAACCCGGTTCACTGACTTTCTTAAAGTTTTTGAGTTATCAAATATTCTTTTTTACTTTAATATGTTCTTTATCTGAAGGTTCACTAAGAAAGGCAGTGATATATTCTCCCCTAGTCATTGTGATGTGTTTGTTCCAATTCATCTATATTCTCTGACTCAGACTGTCTTTCATTGTAACTTATTTAAGGAGTATTAAAAATGGAAATAAGTTCCTCTTGGTATTCAATTAGCAAATGAGTCTATTAGTTATATATACTGAGTTTTCCCCCACATTATCCTTTTAATAAATTGTTTTTATGCTTAAAATTTTTAGCCCTGGTTTTGTTGACAGCAAATGGAAAACCACTTAGCCCTTACTCCTACCTTTATCCAGTCAAGGAACATCTATCAAATTCTCTACCTCCTTAGAAATCTGGAAAGAACAATTCTCAGAGCCTCTCAGGCATTTTTCTTAGTAATTCTAAGGTATCAATGGGCCTAAATTTTTTCTTTTGTTTAATGATGATGATTCCCCATCAAGTTTAAAGTATGGAATAATATAATTATCACATAATAGCCTATAACAAATTTAAATTAAGTCCATCATCTATAGATAGTAAGAAATGTACACTAATTATGTAATAAATAATATAAAAACTTTTAGTTATGTATCTGTCACCATCCAGGAAAATAAGTTTCAAACCAAATGGGCAAAAGATGAAAACATTTTGCAGGGGGGGAGGAAAAATGAGAAAAGATGAGGAAATAAAAATATAGGTACTACTCAATTAAAATGGGGGTGCTAAATCAGTTCTGTGGTACATAAAAACAATGTTATTAGTGGAGAATATATTCCTAAACCACATGACAAAAATACTATGTGATATATATGAAGAGCAGTACAAAAATAATCACTATATACAATGAATCTATAGGAAAAGGCATTCAAATTTCTAACCATACATACTAGACATTGCTCTCTCAATGAGGCCACTTCCCATAACTTGTAACTACACATGTGGAGCTGAAATTACCATAACTGCAATTTCTACATGGTAAGAGATTTATATAAGGAACATGATCCCTCTTCCTTTTCTTGACCACCATCAAAAAAGTTTGCCTGGCATTGGAATGAGTCTAATATTGATCTGTAGTAGCATATATTTTGCCACACCTAAGCAGCAAGGTAAGAAAGAGATGACTTAATGTAGGAGGTTCTGGTAAAAGCAAAGACTATAGGTACGATAAAAAGAAAGGTGCTAAGCAATGACCAAAGAAGAATGGGGTTTTCTCTGAACTAGGCAGGAGAGACTTGAGATGAAAAGCCACAATCTTAAGTGGCTTATAATTTTCATTTATAAACAATCTTATCCCTTATATAAAACTCAAAAAAAAATTTTTTCTTCTGTTGTTGTTAATGATAGCTATTAGAATTCCTCAATGAGAATTTAAAAAGTGTGAGGGAAAAGTGACATCCACGTGAAATGCTTTCCTGTAAAATCAAAGATGATATAAATTAAATTGGTTATAAATTATAATGTTCCTTATACCTCTGTAACAAAAAGTCCCCTGAACACTCAAGTTAGATGCAGAATTTGATCATTTCGATGAACAAATAAAAAAATGCAAAGTGTAAGTATTCACAAGTTTACTAAACCACATTAGGCACTACCATTCAACAAGTTGCAGTTTTATTCATGATTGATGAGGCATCAATCATGAAATCTTTTTTTTTTTGGTTACTAGGAAAAAAAAAAAATAAGTCAAGACTACAAAGAAAATAGGATTTAAAAGTTAGTTGAGGTAGTTAGGGAAGAAAATATATTTTATTGGCCTACATACATTTTCCATTATGGATGACAATCCCTCACTTCCTGTATCTGTAGCCAACGCTCCCTCTTTCAAATTAATGTGACCTTTCTCCCTTCCTCTAAACCTATCAGTTTGTACTTCTAGCAGAGCAGTTTTGCTGCCCCTGCTTTTGACTTCCTCATCTAAACTCTTACCTTCTTTTCTCATTTAGAAATTTTATCAAAAAGTCTGTCCCCTCTAAAAAAATTTTAAAACCTGATAAGTCACTTCCTAAAACATAATTCCTTTTGATTAAAATATTATGATCAAACCAGTAACAAATTCTTCTATGTAAAATATGTATCAAGCACAAGTTTGTAGAAGCTTGTAAAACTTATTTCATTATCCAATCTACAAAAAAAATCTTCAGGAACTAAAGCATTTCTCAATCAGAAGGCCCCTGAGATCACCATCCCAGCCAAAAGCAGATGCTTAACTGACTGAGCTACCCAGCACCCCTAAATCATTACTTTTAAGAGCGCAAGACTACAAATAACAGAGGTGCCTGAGTGGCGCAGTTAAATGTCTGACTCTCCATTTCTCTTGATTTAAGCTCAGGTCGTGATCTCAGAGTTGTGATATCAAGCCCCATATAAAGCTCCATGATGGGCATGGAGTCTGCTTAATATTCGCTCTCTCCCTCTCTGCCCCTCCCCCCTTAAATAAATAAAATAAATCTTTAAAAGAAAGACTGCAAATGATAAAAAATAACCCCCCAAAAAACTACCTTAAAAAATGTGTATTTTGGGGCGCCTGGGTGGCTCAGTGGGTTAAGCCTCTGCCTTCGGCTCAGGTCATGATCTCAGGGTCCTGGGATCAAGCCCCGCATCGGGCTCTCTGCTCAGCGGGGAGCCTGCTTCCCTCTCTCTCTCTGCCTGCCTCTCTGCCCACTTGTGATCTCTCTCTCTCTCTCTGTCAAACAAATAAATAAAATCTTTAAAAAAAAAAAAATATGTATTTTGGGGGCACCTGGTTGGCTCAGTCGGTTAAGCATCTGCCTTCGGCTCAGGTCATGATCACAGGGCCCTGGGACTGAGCTCTGAGTCAGGCTCCCCGAACAGTGGGGAATCTGTTTCTCCCTCTGCCTCTGCCTCATCCTCCCCCCAGCTTGTGCTTCCTCTCTCTCTCTCTCTCTCTCTCTCCCGCGCGCACGCGCTCACTCTCTCAAATAAATACAGTCTTAAAGAATTTTTTTAAAGATTTATTCTTCTTTCAAAAAAAAAGAAAGTATGAACTTTCAGGAAATTCCTTTCCCCTCCAGTGATAGAATAAAGTGTCATCAGTAACACAAATAGAAAACTACACGTTACCTTTTCTCTTAAGAAAGACCAAAGGATCAGAGGAATAAACTTAATCACCATCCCTTATTCAACCCCAATAAATGCAGGACCACATTCTTTATAAATGTTTGCCACTCCTGATATGAAAATAAGAAGAAAAGATTAATCATAGTACCTCTGGGTGGCAAATCCATATCCCCTGATGTTAGTCCTATCAAGTTAGGCCTTTGTGCGTGCACTCTATGTCTATACATAGGTCTGGAAGTGTTTGTTATGCTTGGGGCTTCAGGATTGTAGCCATCTGTGTCATATGTATCTGGTAATACAAAAACTGTAATTAAAAAACAATTATAAAACACCACTTGGTAATTTTTGAATATTGATAAAAGAAAAAGTAAATTATATAACATTACTAATACAGAGCTAACATGCTACATGTATTAAAAGGAAAATTTAGTTTTATAAAAATAAAAAGTTAAATAGAAAATATAACAGTAAAAGAAATTTTATATATATATGTATATATAATACATGTAACTACAATATATATACAGATATACACACATACATAAAACTTAGTCTTTTAAAAATCCAAGGGACTTATATTTAATATACATCCCCCATGCCTACACTTTATTCTATATGATTTTACTAAAAAAAATAAACCTAATAGAGCTAGTCACTCTCTAGACATTTTTAAATTCCTTATCTAAAACTGCTCTAAACCCTCACTACATTATGAATATAAAGAGGGGCAAAACTGCACCTGCAGTAAAAAGAGAGGGTGGAGCAGGAGGAGGCTGGTGATGAATGCCAGTTGTTACTACAGTAGGAACAGAACTGGTTGCAGAGTTTGGGGGAGCATCCATGCCAGATGGCTGCAAAGGAGGAAGAGGAGGTGGTGGTCCTGTCAAAACCAAAGAATAAGAAATATCATCTGAAAGCAAACAAATAAAATAAGTTATTGTATATCCAAACATGATATTCTCATTTATCAGCAAAATTATAGTATCTATAAACTCAAATTCTTATAACTATATTAGTTTTCTAGGGTAAAATATCCTTCTACTGTATTCCAAAACAGGTTTGTCTTAAGCTATAAAGAACTACTGAGAGCTGGGATTCATCGGGGATGTGCTAAGTCAGGGCCCCTCCAAACCACAGTAAACCATAGGTTTGGCAACACCTGCAAAGTGTGGGTCTATTCTGAATAAGAGTATCTTGCCCTTGGTTTCTAGCAGGCATCTTTAGGATTATTTCAGGTATTTTTAACAAAAGCAAGCATCAAACTATTAACTTCTAAAAAGGCTATGAATGGATAGATAATGGGTACTGGCAAACAAATATATTTACTTACCTGTGACAGGTGGTAGGCTGGGTGGTAATGGGCCTGGCGGAGGCACTGGGGGTCTCAGATTCACAGGTGGAGGTGTAAGAATTGGTGGAGGTGGGGGAAGTCCAGGAGGAGGTGGTCCTTCAACAACTGGCGGCTGTGCTGGGAAAGGCAGCATGCCAGGAAGATTCACATCTTCTACAACTACAGGGTCACTTCCATGGTCAAAAGGGCACATGTCTCCTCTCATACAGAAACCCTTTTCTGTAAGCAAGAATAATTAGAAACATGGAAAGTGTCAGATAAATAAATTTTCTGTAAGTTAACAAAGGTAAGATATTTAAAAAAGAAGAGTATTTTTAATATTGGGCCAGTATAACTAACCATAACACAAGAGCTAATTTCCAGTAACATAAAATACTTATGATGTAAATATAGCTAACAAACACATTAAAAAATATATCCACAAATTAAAATGAGTATACCTAGCTAGCAAGCGGGCATAAAACTTTTATATACTTTGTCATTAGAGAAATTCCTTTATTTTTCATTTCCTTTATTTAAATTTCACTTAAAACTCTGAGAATAATGCAACTATAACTTTAGTGCAATTTACAAACTTTTTACAGTAAAACTTTGAGAGTCTTCATTTATAAAATTCTTATAGGTGATATTCACATTTCTAGGTTCTAATTACATGCCAATAACCATTTATTTCTAAAGAAGTGAGTTTTGTCAAGAATGTTTCAGTAGCAGATTCCCAGATAACAACTCAGTAGATACTACTCTTGTTTGATAAACTCCAAAAATATATTAAGACTTATGTGTAAAGAAGCACTGTCTTTAGACTGATATACAATAGTCAATAGTGACTAATAGAGGTTTAAATAATACTGAAGAATTCAAAAAGTGCCTAAGACTAACTTACCACCATTAACTGGGCTGTCCATGAATAGCTGTGCAACCTAAACTTACAGAATTTAGTTAACTGGAAATACTAGTTCAGTACTTCAGAAAACAGTAAAGACTTACCATCATAGTCTCTACACCTTTTCTTTGGCATTGGTGGTCTTACATAGGAGTTATGGTCCACTTGGTCCTCATGAAATTCAGACCAACTTTCGGTAGTGTTATTACCATGATGGGTAGGAGCAATTACTGTAATAGTGCTGCTCAAAGTAGGTACAGGGTAGTGACCAGATGAAATATTTGGTACCGAAGAGACAGGAGTATAATTGTTTTCTAGTGGATCTGTTCTATCCAGGTCATATTTAGGTTTTACTAGATCCCTTTCTGCAACAAAATATAAATAACTTATAAAACTATATTAAAAAAGTCACAGATATACAAAATAGTGGTATTTTTGCTAAACACAGAGAAAACGTTCACATTGTACACAAGCCTCCTTTTCTTTAAAAACTACTAAACAAATACACAATGTTCCAAGATAAGCTAATTTTTTTTTCAATATGACCTGAAGTATAAAATCACACAAAATTTGCTGTACTTAATGAGCTTTCTCTCCTTGGAGTGCTGTTTATAGAAAAGAGATTTTTTATTCTCTTCAGTGCAATCTTAGTATGCGTAACTTCAGCCCACAAAACAAAATATACAATAAAGTACTGTTATTTTTTCTGTGATGAACATTTGAGTTGTAATTCACCTAAAGATCCCAGCATGGGTTTTTAAATAAATAGTATACACTATTTATAATATTAGTAGTGAAAAACTATTTATTGAAGATGGAAACAGATGAGCCAAGAGAAAGGAAAAGGACTTCACACTAAACATGAAAAAAAACATTAACTGGGGGGCACCTGGGTGGCTCAGTGGGTTAAAGCCTCTGCCTTCAGCTCGGGTCATGATCCCAGGGTCCTAGGATCGAGCCCCGCATTGGGCTCTCTGCTCAGCGGGGAGTCTGCTTCCCCCTCTCTCTCTCTGCCTGCCTCTCTGCCTACTTGTGATCTGTCTGTCAAATAAATAAATAAAATCTTTAAAACAAAACAAAACAAAACAAAACAAAACATTAACTGGGCTATATATGGTCCCAAGGAGAGAGAAAAGGAATTAAGGAGATTAGTTAAGTGAAGCAATGTGCAGAAAAGCCCTAGTATACCTAGATCACAGAAAGGGAAAACGCCAGGGCAACAGTCAAAGTATAAAGCATATACAAAGGCCATAAATATTATTTCCCAAAGACTAAAGTTGACTGTACAGTAAAGGCTAAAAGAGTAGCAAAATTCTAAGTTTGAGTAAAGGTATTTTACTTGAAAGTGTTTTAGTTGTTTTATTGCCTCCAGTATCTTCCTTTCAATAACACACACTGGAAAATAAAATGTTGGAAATGACATGCTCTTGCAAATATATTCACCTGAAATGAGAATTTTAACTGTTTTCCTGATTTTAAAATATAAGTCTTATATAATAAACTGAACATATTTATACAATGAATTTTATCTGTGTATATACATGTGAAACCAAACATAACCAAAATTATATACATAGATATTCATCACCCCCCAAAATATCCTTGCACTCCTTGATAATTCTCCACCCTTTACTCCATCCCAGGCAACCAAGGATTGTTTCCTGTCACCAGAGATTAGTTTGTATTTTCTAAAACTTTATATGTATGTATATTCTTTTTTGTCTGGCTTCTTTCACTCAGCATTATTATTTTGAGATTCATCCTTTTATGACATATACCAAAAGTTCCATTCTTTTCTTCCACTGTATGGATCCATCAGTTTGACATCTGGGTTGTTTCTAGTTTCTGTCTATTTCAAAGGAAGGTACCATGATCATTTGCGTACAGTCTTTGTGTGGAAATACACTTTTGTTTCTCTTAAATAAATAGGTTGGAGTTGGGATGGTTGGGTCACGTGGTAGGTGTAGATTTAAATTTAAGATACTGTGAAAGTGTTTTCCAGAGAATTTCAGTTTACCTCTATCCTTACCAGTATTAGATAAAGTCAGCCTTTTTACTTTTAGTCATTACAATGGGCATGCAGTGGTGATTCACTGTGGTTTTAATTAGCATTAAATAAAATTTTTAAAGGAATTTTTTTAAAAAACGTTCACTTAGACCACAAAATACATCACAATAGAAAAATGAAGACAACGCTGACAAAAATTAAAACCATTTTTAAAATCCTCAAATATAGCTTATTCACAAAAGAAGAATGCTAATCAGAACACACATATATGTGGATTATTTACCCCGGCTTCGTGTTCTGCTTCTGCTTCTAGTCCTGCTTCTATCCCTATCCCGGTCACGAAGCCTCTCTTTACTCCAACTTCGACTCCGACTCCTGCTGTAACTGCGACTTCGGCCTCGTCTTCTATTGTACCGGTCTCTATATGAATCTCTTCGAGGAGGGTTTCGATCATAATCTCTTTTGCGAGAACGATCATCTTTTTTCCTCTCATCACGACTTCTAAAGAAATAATGATCACTTTTAGGAAAATAAGTGGATACAGAAAAAACTCATTAAATGCAAAAGTCACATTTAATTTCTGTAAACATCATGATTCTTTATTCCACCACATATTTAGGAAACTCAAATTGAAAAACTGAACATGATCTGCTCAAGAACTCTAAAACCCCTTTAAAGGGAAAAAAAACTGTCAAAGTCTCAATCTTTACCCTTATACACAAAGACATCTATACATTTAGGATCAGTATATGCCATCTCCTAGCACACGGTGTCCTGTACACACATAACCTCATAAAGGCATGTGGCCCACCTATTGCCCACACTAAATGCTTCTGAAATCTTAATGGGAAAAATAATTTATTCACACTAAAGGGAAACTTCATGCAAAAAAGTTCTCACATTAAGATTTCACTGGAGGGGTGCCTGGATGGCTCAGTGGGTTAAAGCCTCTGCCTTCAGCTCAGGTCATGATCTCAGGGTCCTGGGATCAAGCCCCGCATCGTGCTCTCTGCTCAGCAGGGAGCCCACTTCCTCCTATCTCTCTGCCTGCCCCTCTGCCTACTTGTGATCTCTGTCTGTCAAATAAATAAATAAAATCTTGAGGAAAAAAAAAAAAGATTTCACTGGAATTTGAAGTTAGAAATAAATACCATAATAATTTTTTTAAGCACTATTCCAGATCTCACTTCCAGGACCTACGAATCTGACATAGATATTCTTTGTAAGAAAGGAACTAAGTTACACTTTCCTAGAGCAACAGAACAGATATTACTTGCCCCTAGGTGAAAGATAATCAAGTCTAAGCATTCATATAAAAGATATCCAATGTCTAAACACTGAACATGGTTCAACCAATCAATCACCTATTTTCTCTGTATCGGGAACTTGACTGGGGAGGACTATGATTTAGCCTTCTGGAAAACTTCTTCTCTCGCTCTTCCTCCTTTGTGATCTGATATACAAAGAAAAATATGCATTAAGTTTAGCAAATTATTCCTTGCTATATTACTATTTCAATGATTTAATTGACATGAAAATACAGACATGAAATTATTCTTTTCTAAAAGCATTAAAAAAAATTTCTAAGTACAATCACTTAATTTAACCACAGAAGAAAGGCTTACTGAAAGTTAAAGTGAATGCTAAAGAAACTCAGAAATGTTTATCTTAGATAATAGTGGTGGGAAAACACTTAGGCCAATGTCCTCATTTTAACGTTATTAGTAGAAAGTCAATTTTAATTCTTTCGAAATTTCAACACACACTCTTGTTTTGGTTCCACAGATTTGGCCTGGCACCAAACACATTAGGAAATATAGCAGAATGCATTAGAACTAACAAAGTCAGAAAAAGAGATATAAGAGAAAATGATACGTAAGATCAAATAGCTCTCCAGTTCTCAACAGTATGGCAGCTATATATTCCTCTTTCCCACAAGGGGCCTCCATTCGTATTATATTATTAATAGAAAGCAGCCCTGGAAAACATTCCCTTTATCAGTGCTACTTTTCTGAGGCCAGAATTTTCCATGCAATACTGTCCAGAACACTGATTATATAGGACATTAACAGGTGTTACTAGAAAAAAAAAGATTTAGAGGATAAACAAATACAGGAAATACTGAACATGTGGCTTCTGTAAATATGACAGGACTCAAGATTTTGCACTTTTAATAAGAACTCTAAGACAATCTGATGCAGGCAGTCTGCAGGATAATATAACAGTGTCCCACTTTATGCCAGCTGTTCCAATACCCCTCCGGGTAAAAGCCTCTTATTGTCAGAAGTGTCCAATGTTGGGTGATAAATTAAATGGAAATCCTATCAATAGGCCAAACTCTGAGAAGCACTGCTTAAAAGCCTTCTTTCTTTCTTTTTAACAGTCTTTTTGTTCTTATAAATACTTTCATTCTCCTTTTCCCACCCATTTCGACCCTTTCCCACCCAAAAAAAAAAAAAAAAAAACCAAAAACAAAAACAGGGTACAATGCACCTTTTCCCTTCTACTTGCTTCAACACACACTCGCGAGTAATTTATGTTGAGAGATCATCATATTCCACAGTACATGCTCAACTGGGAACTTTTACTATACCCACGGTATTTTAAATCCAGGTTGTCATCTGACATTTTGACAGTTCTGAAAGATCAGGGATAAATATCCTTCACAATTGGTCAAGAAAACTGTGGAGAAATATTATTATGTCAATAGACGTAGGACTAAGGTTTTTGCCACTAACTCATTTTGGGGATAGACTTCTTACTGCTTCTCAAATCAAGAGAAGACTGCTTAAGATTATCTAAGAATTAAAATATGATTTGAAACAGCAAAAATCTAGAACTAACCCACCAAACTTCCATTGGTGAGCAAAACTTAAATAAATTATTGTGCATCTCTATGTGGTATAAGCAGTGTGCCAGCACCACAGCCACTCTTCCTTTCTTCCTTATTAACAGAACAGAACCCCTACTGTTAGGTATGAAATACGCACAAAATTATTTCTGGTTTCCCTTACACAGAGAAGAGGTGTTTTATGTGCACGTCTGTGTAACTATATACATGTACATGTGTGTAAATATGTTCAGATACAGAAATAAAAATATATTTGAGAATTACTATGTAAAGTTATACATATATTTATATTATTACATAATAAACATTACTTACATAATCTGTAAAGAAAAAAAAGAGTATGAGGGGAAAAACCCAATCACATCTTCCATCACACCAACAATCTCTCAACAATAATAGGAACTGCCATTTATTGAGAATATACTATGTGCTACACACTATGCCAAGTGCTTTAGAGACAACATTTTATTATTCCTCAAAAAAAACCCTATATATTTCCATTTCACAGCTAAGCAGACTAAGGCTTGGAAAAGTAACATTTCCAAGCTCATAAAGCACTGACTGATAAAGCAAAAATTTAACCAAGATTTATTTGACCTAAAGCAAGACTAACTGCAGAAATATATCAGCTTAACTATCAATTAGTTTTGCTCGAACTTACAATCTTTAAACATCAAATTGAGAAGATCTGAATTTTTATGATTATTAAGCAAGAACAATTAAGCAATCTTGTATAAAAGGTAAACTCTTCAAAATCTCTTAAAGGATGAAGTCATGCCCACTGCCCTGTGAAGGTCTTTATACATGACTACCTTAAAAACAGTCCCCTACAAAATGCAGGCAGGACAGAGCAAATTAGTCTAGTGTTAATCTAATTATTCTCACAGAACACAGATAATGAAAGTCCACAGATAGAAGATACTATGCAGAAAACAGTTAAAAAGCAAGCCTGAGACTGTTATCTTTAGAAAGGCCTGCTTCTTATAAGGTAGGCTCTAGGCTGGTATCTGTGAACTTTGATTTCTGGAGGGTTCCCATCATTCCCTGACAATAATAGCTCACCATATGCCTGAATTGTATCACTGATATGGCTCTAAGCTGAACACATGCTTTCCTCCGGGAAATCGCAATTTTAGTACATAGTAGGCAGAAGGTGCATCTGTGACCAGCCGCAAATAAAAACCCTGGACACTGAGTCTCTAATGAGCTTCCCTTGTTCAAATGTGTTGAAACTACTTGTTACGTGCATCCTTTGTGACTCTCCTAGGAGAAGTCTCTGGAAGCTTACGTCTGTTTTCCCCCAGACTGTGCAACACCTACTTTTTCTTTTTGCTGATTCTGATGTAAGAAGTCACAGCCTTGAGTATGACTAAGCGCTAAGTGCTATGACTGCTCCTACGGATGATCCCTGAGGACCCTTGACACAAATACAGAAAGTAAAACTCAGTTTAATGATTCCTTATATTTTTAAAGAGCATCTAAGGTTTAACACACAAATCCTCACCTCTTCTTTTTTAATATCTTTTTCTTGGTGCTGAAAAAATTCTACCTTTAAGCTTCCTGATGATGGCTGCTCTGGAGGAGGTAGGTAACTCTTTGTATTCACAGCATCAAAAAGCTTTTCCACAAATATCTGTGTCTCTAAAAACAAAAACCAAGACCAAAAAAATGTAGATTAAAGACACTTATTAAGATTGAATCCTCCTCTTCTACACATCAGAGTTCAATATGATGAAGTATATACTGACTTTTATAACTCTGGAAATATACTAAGACCAATAGCTTCCCAACCAGTGAGTCATGACACAAATCTTACGGTAATATTAATCCATTCAAATTCAGGGTAGTGGAACTAAGATGGCCAGAGCTTCTGGGCCAGTCACTTCCAGCCATTACTAGACTCTGACCCTGCACCCAGAGTGCTGAACATAAATATTATTAACTAGACAGTAACAAAATGAAAAACGTTAGAAGCAGTATCAAGCTAACATTCCAAGTAGTTTCTTAAGCAACACGATCTTTAAATAAACAAGCATTCATTTACTTAATCCTTTAAGGAAAAATACCAGCTTGCTTTAAGAAAGAGAATAAAGATATTAATGAAAAAGGTTTTCATTATAAATAAGCTATAATCAGTAATAATACTGTTTATTCAACTTTGTTACAATTAGAGTCTATTCTCTTATTGAGTTCCTTTAATATTATGGTAAATCTCGCTTTAAAGGATTTATTAAAATATAGTATTTTTAAACTAAAGATGTTACCTTTTTGAAGAAATACATCCAGTTGATCAATACATAATGCCTTTAACTCTTTCTCACTTTTGTCTTTCTTTACCAAAGCGAGAACATATTTTGCTAGGGCTGAAGGATCTGCATCACAACTGAAGAAAAAAAAGCAATATTGAAGGAAATTTAGCCATAAACAATTGCACATTCTAAAAATTCCAGTTACAGACTTAGTTGTATGATAAACAGTTAAGTGGATTAATATATGTAAAAAGCAGCTACCCATGGAAGGCAATAAAGAAATGTTAAGTTCTCCCTTATAGTAATATATTTTATATTACATACATGGCCACTACTCTGTATCCTTCCACATTTGGACTAATATATGTATTAAACGCAGTAGGCTTTATTATTACTAAAAAGAGAAGTTATAACACAGTACCATCAAAAACTATTAGCATGGAAAGAATAAAAATGCAAAAAGCGCCCTTGCCTTACCTCCACCCCAAGAATTAGCTAGAAAACCCAGACAGAGAGGGCACTAAAAGAAAACCTGAAAACATACTACAGGTTTAGAAACAGACCCAAATAAATAAATGTATGAATTTTGATTTTATAAAGGTAGCATCCAAGTCAATGAACAAGGGATGAATTACACAATAAACGATATTGAGACAAGTTGATAGTTATCTATTTAAAAACTAAGTTGGTTCCATAACTGATTCCATACACCATAATAAATCTAAAACTGAAAAACATGAAACCACTAAAGTATTAGGAAAAAAAACAAGAAAGTTATTTTATAACTTTGAGTAATGAAGATTTTTCTGAGTAATGACAGAAATCTATGAGAATGATTTGATTACAACAACAACAAAAAAAAAAGGCAACAACTTTGGAATGAAAGAGTCAAAAGACAAATAAAAAAAGCTTCCCATTCCAAAAGGTGAATTCTCCTAATATGTAGCTCCTATCAGTAAGACCAAAACCGTAAGAGAAAGAAAACAAATAATATAGACGCTAAACAGAAAAATAAGTCTAAATGAGTAAAAATACACCCTCATCCATAAGAGAAATTCAAACTTAAGCTATACTGAAATATAATTTTTCAGTTATATAGCTGGCAAATGTAAAGGTATGAAAATATATTCTGGAGGTAAGACTATGGGGATACAAGCAGTTTTCAAACACTGTGGCTGCTGTGAGGAGACTGGTAGCCCCTAAGGAATGGTAGCATACAATCCCAAGTGCAAATGACCTAGCAATTCTACTTCTCTGAAGTTACTTTACAGACATACTTACATATACAAAGTGACACATACACAAGTCTCATTGGCACATTCATTGCAAAATAAGAAATGTGCAAAATGTCCATTTACAGAGGACTGGAAAAAGAAATTATACTAATCTACACTAAAGAATGAATACAGCAAAAAGACACAAAAAAGAATGAGGACGTGTTCCTGTCACAGAAATTCTCCTTATAATTTGTTATGTTTAAAAAGCAAGGTTGAGAAAACTGGTCATCATGTTACCATTTGTGTGGGGGGAAGAGAAAAAACTATGTATTTGGACTGGCTTATGTTTGAATAATAAATATATGGAAGTAAAAAAACATTACTGGTTTTTGTTTTGTTTTTTTTTTTGGATGGGGGGAGACAGTGGGGACTAACTGAAGGAGGAACAGAGTGAGGCAATAAAGTTTTTGATGCCTGAGCCATGCCCATCCTGACAAAAAGCCAAATTAATTGTTTTTCGACGAAGCTAAAATTGTTACCCATTTAATTAATGATCACTTTATAAGTTAGGTTAAATAAGAATAAAATAGTAGCAATAGCCCAACACTAATATCTTCCGAACACCTACTTTGTGCCATGAACTGTACATACTGTATTCAGCTCTATTCTGTAACAGTTCTACAAAAGAACAGCAGTAACGTATGTCACTGAATCAAACAGTACATCTTTTAAAAGATAATGAAGAGCTTTGATTGCACAGTAAAAAACACCTATAGAAAAACCTGACTGCAAGTGAATCAACAGACATAATTCAAACCGTTTGTGTTTTGCTTTGTTGTTTTATAAAGGCTACACAGATGAGTCTAATACAGCATCAGAATTGACAACTACTCTATTAAGGAACTAATATAGCATTTATCCTATGTTCTAAGACTTCCTAATTTACATTACTGTGGTCATTAAGTACGCCTGCCAATTCTTCACTCCTCCCTTTTAAGGCAGAGCCTGATTGCCCACCCTTTGAGAGTAGGCTCAATTTAGGGACTTGCTTCTAAACAGAACAGCAGAAGTGAGGGTGTCTACCTTCAGAGACTAGGACTAGAAAGTATTGTGGCATCATCCTTGCTCTCACTCTGGAATCACTTCTAGGGAAAACAGCTGCTATGTTCCAAGGACAGTTAAGCAGCCTTATGGAGAGTACCATGTGGCAATGAAATGAGGACTCTAGTCAACAGAGCACGGAGGTCTCTTTCCAGTAGCCAAATGTGAATGAGCTTGGAAGTGAATTCTACAGTCACCGTGGAACCTTGAGAAGACCGCAGAACTGATCTACAGCTTAACTGCAATCTCATGATTCAGAGCCAGAAATACTTAGCTAACCTGCTTCCAAATTCCTGACGCAGGGATGATAAGTATCATGAGGTGGTAAATGTCTGCTGTGTTAATGAATTAAGTTGAAGGGTAATTTGTCAGTAATCATACTTTTCTCATAGATCTATTTACATGTATTTACAACGATTTGAAATGGGCTATTACTCAAACAAGAAGCAAGAAAAAATTCCATTTTAATGGTACATGAAAGATTTTTTTTTTTTTTTTTTTGTCAGAGAGAGAGGGAGAGAGAGAGCAAGCACAGGCAGACAGAATGGCAGGCAGAGACAGAGGGAGAAGCAGGCTCCCCGCCAAGCAAGGAGCCTGATGTGGGACTCGATCCCAGGACTCTGGGATCATGACCTGAGCCGAAGGCAGCTGCTTAACCAACTGAGCCACCCAGGCGTCCCTACATGAAAGATTTTTAAGGACTTTTTCTTTGAAATTCTTTTTTCAATATACAATGAACATTTAAAAAAAATAGACAAAACGATTTATGACTTTTTATGTTTTATCACAATGAGTATAGAAATACATCGGTGATGAAATAAGCCCAAAGAAATGGGACATATATAACCTTATGATGCATTTACAGATATACTCATACCCACCAACTCAGTAATACTGCATGAGAAATAATGAAACAATGCCTATTCATGTTAGGTAACCTGAATAAGCACAACTAAAAACTAGGCAACAAGATAAACATATTCAAATAATTGAAAAATCAATGTGAAACATAATACTACCACTGTGTTATACTGTTTTATTGCAACTGCTGTTAATGAACAAATTTACAGTCTCCACATTGAGTCCAAATGCTATAGTTTAACCCAACATTGGTCTTACTGTTGTGGTGAATTTTCAACTTAAAAATGACTTTTCTAATGACTTAACTGTGACTTTACATTTCTCTTAACTAAACAAATCTATTCCATTGCCACTCCATTACTTTTCTAAATAGGACAGGTTGAGCCAAATAAAATTTTAGCAGTTAAAAACACAGGCGCACCTGGGTGGCTCAGTCAGTTAAGTGTCTACCTTCAGCTCATGTCATGACTTCAGGGTCCTGGGATTGAGCCCCATGTTGGTTCCCTGCTCAGCAGAGAGTCTGCTTCTCCCTCTCCCTCTGCCACTCCCCACCGTTTGAACTCTCTAATAAATAAAATCTTTTTAAAAAATGTATTAAAAGACCTTTGTGATTTCTGTAATTATTACGGTTTATAGACCAGTTTTATAAAACAGTAAGACAAAATCATTCCTGAACAATCACTGCTCAACGTCTTTTATAGGAAGCTATTGAACTGAATAAAAAACCAATAAAATCACAACTACAGCAAATCAACTACTATACACAAAAATTCTAAATCCTTGAAACAGTCTGAAAGGGCAAATTACTTCTTAAAATTGGTTAAATTACAAATTATATAGTAGAAACAAGGTCTATACACATTTAATGCCAAAATGGGTAGATTTACATTTGAGAGGCAATTTTTCTTAAATCCTATAGTCATTTCCTATTCAATTTTTTTTTTAAAAAGATACGTACATGTAAATTGCAGCTAAGTAGAAGACTATCTGAACTACAGAGGTTTAATAATATGCCATGTTATAAATCAAGGAGAAAGGGCAAAATACATGTTCTCTTTTCCATGTTTTAATTAAAAGTGCCAATGCTACTTCATCTGAACACCCAACAACATGCTATGTAAAATTAATGCAGTAAAAATGTTTAAATTACTTAATCAAAAGAAAATTATATTAAGATAGTAAGGGGTTATTTAAAAAAAAAAAAGTCTCCATGGCAAGCAAGACTGTTCATGTGGTACTTGATGGCACCAGTTGCCATTGTTGATGATAAGTTTGCAGTTTCAATGAACAGATCTTGTCAGAGCTAGACTCTACCCTGTACTATGTTACTAGTATTCTAGAAACAGTGAAAGAAAAGTGGAACTGAAATCTTTCAGATCAGAGAGAAGGGACAGATTTTGAAAATGTTGAGGTACAAAGAGCACTGAGTGACAGGTTTCATCCTTATCTTAGCAAACAGGCTGAATTCCCACTGATTCTATATTCCATAAGGACTTCTCAATCCAGCAAGTACATAATCTGCTAAAAAAGCATCAAACCAACCACACAGTGCTCCAACTCCAATTACTCCTGTGTCTGTGTCTGTGTGTGTTGGGGGATTGAGAAGGTTGGGTGGGCAAAACACAAAACTAACTACAGAATAAGGCAGGCGTGAGACACGACTTGCCAACAGCATTTGTGAAAGGTGGGTTGGAGAAGGAGCAACTAAGTATTTCAGTATGTCAAATGAGATAAAGGGTGAAATGGTTGGGGGGAAACTTAAATCATAAAGATGCAATTTAAAAAAGATAACAGTATTATGTTTTGTCTCCCATCCCAATCCCATCTTATTTCATTTTTCCCTCCCTTCCCCTCCAGAACCCCGCCCTTCCTCTCCAATTCCTCATTTTGAGAGATCATATAATTGCTTTTCTCTGAGTGACTTGCTTCGCTCAGCATAATACCCTCTAGTTCCA